TTACTATATATTTCCTATTTCACTAAAGTTATTATTAAATAGATTATTTAGTAGCTTTATTTTACTTGAAATCATACTAAAGAAAGATAAAGACAATGTTATATTTGGCATTAAAGTAATCTTGATATACTTGATGGATCCATCATATATAACCAAAAAGAACATATGAAAAAACAGAATTCATATCAATAACTTTTACTTTAGAACAAAAGTTTATCTCTAATTTTTATTTTAAATTACTTTTTATAATTTCCATTATATTTTGCTCAACATTTTTAATTTTTGAAATTCAACAATGTATATGGAATTATAAACATTATTTTAAAGATATATGGAATTTATTTTGTAAGTAATATTTTATAATTGCTTTATATTTAAACCAAATTAACTTGATTTAATCATTAATAGATTTAGGAGCATATATTTTACCTATTATAGCATCCATTTTTGGCTTATTAACTTATATGAACCTTGGTAATTTATAATAAATTAATAACATTTATTTTGAAAACAAAGAGCAATTAGAAGATTTCAATCAAGAAAGTGATTCAAGAGAAGTTGATGATATGGAAAGTAATGAAAAAAATGAAATTGATGATTCTAATAATAATAGTAGCAAAGAAAATTAATGTAAAAAAATAATTTCATATAAATTTGGTGTTACTATTGTTACTATACATATTGACACCAACCATTTATTGAGAAATCAACCATTCAACAGTCACATGACGTGTTGTTCTGTGTTGCCTTTGCAGAACAGCATGATTTAATGTTTACATTGTATTATTTGGTTTCAATAAGTTAAAATCATGCTTTTCCAATTATATATATATATTATATATATAATTAGAAAAAGTGTTTCAGAATGGAAATAAAAAGAATTCAATGTTTTAATAAAAAATCTTTTTTTAGATTATCAAAGATTTTGAATTTTATATAGTAAAAACTTGCACCAATGAGATGATGATTAACCACTATCTTTTCGATTGAATAAATAATTCATGTAACTTTGTTTGTATATGTGGCATAATTAGATCCAATTAGAATGGTCTTTTTGTAGCAATTATTTTTAGTTGAAAAGGAGATTATTATATGAACTTACTTTTTTTTAAAGAAGTATATACTGTAAATGGTTTAAAGTATAATAATGATGATTTATTTTAATAACTTTAAAATGTAAATACCCATAGAACTTTTCTTTTTTAATAAAGTTATTTATCACTGCGTGCAGTCTTATTCAAGTATACAATTTTTTAAATTGAATAGTACCTATAGGTACTTATTAATTATGAAGTATATGGCCAAAATTGGCCTTTATTAAGAATTTTGTGCCATGTACCAGGGTTTAATCATGAAGATATTATTTTTGGAGGTACTATATGCAATAACAAATAGTATCTTTATTTAATAAAAGTTTAATAAAATGAATATATGCAATAGTGCAATGCAGTTTTTGGTTATTAGAAATTTATATTCAGAAGTAGAAAAAGTACCTTTTATTAAAGAAAGTGAAAGGAATCCAAAAATCTTTATAAAATATCTTTTTAGTAAGAAATGTAATTTGAAATTTTTATGGTAGATTTTATGCCGCCAGTAACATAATCATTAATTACTCAATGTACATAATTTTATATTCATTTGAAGGCAAGAACTTGCTTTAGCTGACAAATCAATATTAACACTCAGTTTCAAAAATTGAATATAAATGTATTGAAATTATCCAGTAACTAGTCACTAGTGATTCAATTCATTCTTTTAATTTATAAGGTAGGTATTAATTTTTTTCAAATAAATACAATCTATCTATCCGACTAGCTTATGTATATGATTGATTTATTAACAATTTTGTGACAAGAATTTTATTCTGAATCTCATATTACATTAAAAAAATTAATATCATATAAATAATTGATTTACTTGCATTGGCTGATGATATATCCATCAAACTTATGTATTAAATTGGCAATTTGAATTTGTCTAATAAAATTGATTTTTTGAATGTAAAAGCTTATTTCAAACATGCAAATTTTATTTGTTATATTTTATATTCAAACTTCACATTTTTTTATTTGATGTATCAATAAAAACAATTTTTGGATTTTTTTTATTTTTAAATTTGATTTAAAAATAAATTTGAATACTTTTTTTTAATTAACATAATTTATTGATTTAATTAGTTGCAAAAAGAGAATTTTTATAAATGATTAAAAATTGTCAAATTTCAGTATAGTCTCATCACTGCATGTCATGTGAGTCACTCATCTTAGTCATGTGCCACTTCAAGAAATGTAGTTGTTTCGGGCAAGTGCATTGTTAAAATTTCTTCCCTTGAATATGGCGACAAGTATAATTCGAATCGTCATATTTAACATGTTGCGCATGTCACCTTTTCGTCTTACGTCAATATTTCATAAAGCTACATTACCATGATCTTTTCTAACTTATTATAGACATGGCCTTCGACCATATATTCTTAATTCGTTGGCACTTTTATTAATTAGTTCTTTCTTTTGATTACTTTAAGAAATTTTAAATTTTTTTTTTTTCAAATTTATTAACAGTTTAAATCATTTTTTAATCTGGATGAAAGGTATGAAATGATGATCATGAACAATTATTGATGTTTCGCTTACCAATAATATATTTTTATATTAAATGTAATAAGTAGTTTTTTTTTTTAATAAACCTTTATAAAAATTCGAAATATTAAACCCCTATAAATTCATATTTAGTAATTGTGATACCGTATTTGACTGATATTAAGAACCCGAAATTAAGTTTATGCGCGTGCTAAAAAATAAGCATCTTTTGCTGATATTTCAGTCAATATTCATCTGAAAAGTTTAAAATTTATACCATTCAATTCGTCTCAATGAGACGAATTCAATTTTACTTTATTAATAGTTGATTAGATCACGAGATTTCTTTTAATAAAAAGCCAAGTCACAAACTCAAAATTAAGCAGTGTTCGGCAAATGACTTGAAATGAACAAATGACTCAAATGACAAGTCATTTGTCATTTGTCATTTGCAACTCAAATGACCTGTCATTTAAGTCATTTGAAAAATATTAAATATTCTGATTATTTTTATTAATTATTTTTTTTATTTTAATTAAGAAAACAAAAATATTAAAACAAAATTGGTTTAATATATATAATCAAAAAAGTTCCAATAGTAGTAAAGATTTTTTAATCACGTGATTTTGTTATTATTTTACAGGTTATTATTTGTTAATAATATTATTATAGACAGGATTATTTCACTTATAATTATTTCACTAATGATCATTTTATCCACACAGATAAAAGTTAATTGATTTTGCAATAAAATATTTAATTGTAACACATGTAGTGGATCCCATTTTTCACCATTTTTATATATAATTGTTGTCTTTATTTAATCATAAGATGGCCATAATATTTATTTATGCATATAATTATATAATAAAATTATATATAATAAATAACATATCAGATATTATCACTTTAATAATTATGGTTGTGTTATTTATTACTTTCAGATTACAGTAAAAAATAAATAATTTGGTGAAATTGATTCTGTTTGTGATTATTTCGATTACGTCCTTCCTTTTTTGTACATCACGTGAATGACGTGATTATAAATTGTCCAATAATCTTTAAATATTTTAATGACAAATGACCAAATGACAAAGGACGCAAATGACAGTCAAATGATACCCAATCATTTGGCATTTGTCATTTCGCGAATAATTCAAATGCCAAATGCCAAATGATGGGGTGTCATTTGACCAAATGACTCCTAATCCGAAAAATGGTCAAATGACCAGGTCATTTCCGAACACTGAAATTAAGCACCCCATAATAAAAAAAGGGTGCTTAATATAAGTCCATTAAATTACAATATTTGTCGATTTTTGAAATGTAAAAAAATTAATTTTTTTTTTTATTAATGATTTATTACTTTTAGTTATAAATTATTGATGATATATATATATATATATATATATAATTTAATGAGACGAATTTAAAGTTTCAAAAGTGAATAAAAATTCCGATTTTGATGATTGCATAATAATTCAATAGCAAACACTATTCAAACAAAATTTATTGCTTTTTTCGTTACATAATGAATTTATAAAAAAATTGAAAATTGACATGATTTAGGTTATTTTTTTCTTTTACAATTGTGTAAATTTTACTATATATAAACAAATTATCACATTTGAAGACTAAATATTGAAAATAATACAATATATATAAGTTTTTATCTACTGTATAAAGAATTTTTTACGGATGATATCACGAAAATAAAACAATAAATTTCGTTTGAAAATTTTTACTGTTGGAATAATATGTATAGTATGTTTATTAGTTAATTTTATAAGAAATACTAAATAGAATTCTTTTATATGTAATATCAGCGCTTGAACATTTTCATATTGTCAACCTTAAAATTTAAATAACATTTTCAAAATGAATATTTTGATTGAAATTGGTTACCAGATTACAGCATGAAACTGGATGTAAATCTAATTAACCTGTTGCACTAAGTGTCACTGATGATTTCAATTTTTGAAAATTGTGAGTGGTTATCTAAATTCTAAATTTATAAGTGACCGGGATATTTATTTCCTGGACTCATATAGATAGCCGGGAAATCTGTTTCACATGTTACAATATTTAATGAGTGACGCGCTCCCGGGATTATCTAGTAATTATTTCAGATAACACTAGGGTTTTTTTCCCGAAGAGAAAAAACCTATTATTTCCAGCTTTCATATGAAATAAATAATACTAAACCATTTTTGAAAATGGCTGATGAATAATAATCATTTATATATTACATAATATCATCAAAATTGTATAACGTAAAATTCTGTGATTTAACATAATAATCAAATAAAAGATTATAATCTGTCAATTAAAATAAATTTTCTTAACTTAAATTTTACACATTTTTTGTCACTCGTGTATGATATTTTATAATGATGAAATACATTTATAAATTTATAATAATAAATATTTAATAATTGAATAATCCTATAAAAAAATAAGAATGACTAAATTATTTAAATTACAAACTAAGAATCTTCCTATTACTCTATAATCTTAGTGTTTAAATAATTCAACGTAAAATAAATGAATTTGAATTCATATCGTCAAATTGTAAATTAATTTAAGATTCATCTATAAAATACATAGATTAGTAAGTAAACGTAATTTATTATTTTAATATATTATTAAATAATAAACAAACCATCGAGAATTTCTGTTTTATCTTGTTCTGAATGAAGACTTGGATTATTTTGTACTTCATCTGTAAAAGTAAAATAAATTAGAATAATGACCTAATTTATATTATAAATAATTTAATAAATATGGCTTACCATTAGTACCAATATTTGATCGTCGTTGCATAAATTCTTCCTCATAGTCATTTTGAACGTCTACTATTATCAATAAATCAAATTTATTAATATATTCATCAACTAAATATTATAAGAAAATTAGAATCAATATATAAATATTTTAATTTTTAAGGCTTTACCATTCTCTATTTTTAATTTTTTCGATAATCTGGGTGATTCTTTACTATCATTATCTAAAATTAAAATATACAAAAATTAGTATTTATTTATTATTAAACACTAATAAGAATAAATTACCATTGGAACTAATTGGTATATATTGATTACTCGATTTACTTAGATTACTAGCTATAATAATATGAATCATTTAATATTTTATTGTATAAAATAAAAATATAATTTTAATAAATACTTACCATTACTAGAAATACTAAAATCATATGATCTACTGATATAAAATGCTATTTTTTTAAAAAAAGAGAGATAATCTATTAATTAATAAGGAACTTATACTAAAACATTATTATCTTTATATTACCTTTTTGTTCTTCTATTATTATTTATAAAAAGAAGATATTATTAATAATACTAATAGATTAAATTAATAATATATATGAAATAATTATACCTTCTGCTGCATTTTTTGGTTCAGGTAGGTTTTCAAATTTATAAATTTTACTTGTAAATGATTTACTATCTATGTCAATTTTTTCTTTATCTACTTTTGCTATTAATTGAGGTAATTCATTTGGATTGTTTTGATAATATGTTTTAATTTCACTTATTTTATCAAAAAGTGTATCAATATCAGGTCTTTTTAATGGATTAGCATCCCAGCATTGTTCCATTAAACTTTTATATTCTGAAGGAATTTCTGATATGATTTTTGGTCTTATACCATCAATAATATTAAATGCAAGAATACAATCATGTTCATAATTCATAAATGGAGGTTGTCCAAATGAAATTTCCCACATGAGCATTGCAATACTATAAATATCAGATTTAAAAGTATATCCTCTTCCAATAATAATTTCAGGTGCTATGTAAGGAAGATTTCCATATATGCTTGTTGATGGTTTATCTGCAGGACCACAAAATCCAAGATCACTAATTCGCCAACAGTCATTGAGCTGTGAATATAATATATTTCCAGAATGTAAATCTCTATGAATTGAATTCTCTTTATGAATATAATAAAGTGCATTAATTATTTCAAAGGTAATTCTAATTCTTTCATTCCATGTAAGTTGATTATGATTTTGTTGCAAATATTCTCTTAAATTCATATTAAACCTTTCTATTACAAGCATATAATTTCCATTTGATGGATTTTTTGTTAAACCAAAACATTGAGCAATTTCTGAATTTTTGTTGCTTAAAGTTAAATGTGATTTAGCCTTTAAGAAATAATAAATTTATTATTAATAATTAAATTTTAAAATTAAGTTCTTTATATATCTTAAGTTACAAACCTCTTCAAACCAATTTTGACTGGCATTTTCAACATTTTTTAATTCTTTAAGTATTACAACATGGGTTCCAGATCTTATTAATTGTTGTTCTTTAGAATCCCATTCTTCATATCCACCATCAATCCAATCTGCTGTATAAATCTCTGAGAATCCGCCTTTTGTCAGATATTTAATATTTTCTAAATTATTATATGGAATCCATTCAATAATTCTACTTGGTATAGATGTTTCCATTTGGCAATTTTTTATTAAATTATCAATAACATTATTTTCAGAAGTCCAATTTGAAAAATTATATTTTAAATAATTTCGAACACAATATTCACAATATAATGTAGCTAAACATTTTTGGTTACAATTTTCACAAACTCTTCTTGTCCCTTCATTGTAAATAATTTTATCTCGGTCATAATATTTATTATTTTTTCTTATTGCTTCAGTTTTTTCTTCTTCTGTAAGAGATTCATCAGCAAGAATGAATTGTTCACAAAATTTATATTGTTTATGAAGGCCAATACAAATACTATAATCAATTGACAAATATGCTCTCGTAAGTGCTGCTTCTATTAATTCTCTTCGGATTAATTTAGACATTTTTGTAAAAAAAAAAAATTTTTTTAATAATGTAAAAAAAAAAAAAACAAAGTTTCCAACTTTCAACAAACGGTAAAACTGTTCTATTGATCTACCTGTCATGTGCTACATTGTCATCTGATCATAAGCAAATTNGTCATTAGGGATTGGAATCGATTATCATTATTAGAATCGATTTTAGAATCGATTAATCGTCGATTAATCGTTAATCGAAATTATACTACTGTCGGTCACGTGACTATCAAATTATTAAGATCGACATAAAAAATTTCCTTATTGGGAATTTTGTACAACATAACTTGAATTTCATTGGACAACAAAATTTCCTTTTTTGGATTTTGTTAATGTCACGTGACATCGACCTAACTTCTTATTAACGGACTACCCCAAAATGTCACGAAACGGCCGGCATTAAGAAATTAAGAAATTAACTATGTGACAAATAATGAGTGACAAATAAGCCAATACTTGTAGGGTACGCAGGAGAAATCTTATTAACGTTACTGCGCCACAATAAGTAAATTCGATTTTTATTCGATAATCGATTTAAAATCGATTCTTATCGATTTTCGATAAATTCGATTATTGTAAAATCGATTCCAATCCCTACCTGTCATGTGCTACATTGTCATCTGATCATAAGCAAATTAAATAACTTTCCATTTAACCATTTTTATTTATTTATTTTTTTCTTATAAAAGCATGACGTAAAAATATAGAGGCACTAATAACATTGAAGATTGTACAAAAAAAAAAATTTTAAAATTATTTCTGCGAAATTAATGAAATGTATTTCTAAAAATGATGCTTTTAGAAAACAGAATTTATTAATCAAATCCTCATAAAATTCAATACTGTATATCAACCACATTATAAAGTCATAAATAAAATTTCAAATCTATTTCTGATTGACTATGATATCAATAAATTCCAGTATCATGTTTAATAATAAGTTACATGTCGATAAATTTTTTTTTTAAACTAATATAATATCATCATCTTTTTTTCTCTCTTAAATTCAACTAAATTAATAATTTTAATAAAATTAATATTACTTATATTTAATTGTGCCTAATTTTTACTTTTAGTTATTATGTTTAATGAGTCGAAATTCAAAGTTTCAAAAATAGAAATCAAAAAATTCAATTTTGATGATTAAATCAAAGCTAATTTATTGTATAATGAGTTTATAAATTTAAAAATTAAAGTATTACGATGATAATATACATCCCTTTTGAATACAATGACATGATAGATGACAGTATCTATTTTATGAGAACTTTCTGTTTGTCACTTTATATTCACTTTTTATTGCAAAAAAAAGGAAAGAAGAGTAAAAAGGGATATCGGTCAATAGGAATTCCTAGTAGTAAGTGTTAAACTGTGAAAAATTATAATTTATAACCGCCATTTACGTAAAATTCTGAAGAATATCCTGATGATTCACAAACTTTAAAAAAAAATTATTTCAATTTTTAATCTAGATAACTTCCAGATTACTCATTATAGGCATAATAATATTGCATCTAATACATTACTAAATCAAAATAATTCAATCATTCGGTAATAAAAAACTTATTTCTTCAAATTATGTTTATGAAATTTTATCATAGTTTTTAAATTTTCATTTGTCTCTTCGTTTTTATAATTATATTAATTATATTTAATTTGTTAGGATTTGCTGATAAAATTAATTTCTACTTTCACTGCAAATTATATAAAAAAGTGCCATTTTGCCACTCCGGTTAGCCAATCTTGTGCGAATATAAGCAAGAATCAGGCGAAAATCAAACAAAAATTCTAATAAAATTTCAAATACAGTATACAGTATTAATATTACGCGCCATTTATTTGTGCTCATACCATTATTTGCATCATCGATATTTACAAAACAAACTCATACATTCCACAAAGTAATAATAAAGTAGATTTGTTAATCAGCATTTTAATCTTCACCGAGAAAATCTCTGACCATCACTACACAGTATCATAAATAATTTCCCATGATAATATATACTGAATTCTCTGATGTTTGGGGCAAAATCGTACTTACGAAATAAAAATTGGAAATAGTGTATATATTTTTTTATCTCATCACTAATATCCCAAATTTACGCTATACTATCATAGGTTTGAAATTACTTAATTTACGAGAAATTCTTTTGCAGAAATTAGCATATCTTCTTTGTAATTTACAGTATGTTAAAATCAATATTTAATTACCTTAACGATGTAAAAGAAGTTGAAGCATATTTAGAAAAGTTCTATTGATATAGCTATCACGTTAATAATACTAGATTATTATATGTATCTGTCAGTATCTATGTCTTGTGTCTTTGTATATGAATATTTTGCTATAAAGGTTAATTTTATTTTTTTCTTAACAGGATAAAGGGATTATTTGTAATTAATTATTATCATACTATTATTTCATAACAAATTTATATAACTTTTTTATTACTTTTAAGCGGCAGGTTGGCCAAAAGTAATCCATCATTCCCTTTTAGTAAACGAAAAAAAATTGTATTAAATAATATTAATAGATACTAATGACAGGTTCATGAAACAAAATTTTTTTAAATCTAGAATTTGTAGAATATTATTATTATTTTTTTTTGTGAGAATGTGAGAAAAGTCTTTTGATATTTTAGGTTGGAACCGGTTTCTCATTACTCAAGGTCATGGGTACTACTACTTTGGGCGGGTACTAACCAGAGTTAAATTTAATTTTGACTGAAATAATTGGCTCTGATCAAATTAGGACAATTTTTATCCAGGCTATAACCCTTAGCTGGAACACATGATTAAACAGTTATTTCATAAAAGTAATATAAGAAAATTTCACGTAATATTTCTGAGTTTATTAAATTTTATTTAACATTTAGTACAATGAGTTAGATATAATTAACAAATAAGTCATCGTTATCTGTTATAATTTTAGTCGATTGGCAAAGTAGCAATACATCGATAAAATAAGTTTATAATTGAAGGTAGCTTTGTTTACAAATCCAAAGTCTATATTATATTTTATTTTTTGTATAAGGAAAATATTAATTCGTTGCAAATAAATAAATAAGGCAAATATATTTACAAATAATTATGATTTCCTACCTTTATAAAAAAGTCATTATATATATTACCAATAATTTCAATAGAATTAATAATTTGCCTTATTTCAGCCAATTCTTCAGAACTAAGTTTAACTTTTACTGCTTCAACATTTCCTTCAAAATGTTTAATTTTTCTTGTACCAGGAATAACAATCATATTATCTCCCTGTGAAAAGTATATAAAACTTTATATTTAAAAAAAAAATGTTATGATATAAAAAATGTAATAAACATTGATATTTACCTGAGCTAGAATCCAAGATAAACAAAGTTGTCCTGGAGTTACGCCTTTCTTTTCCGCAAATCATTAAATTTATGTACAATTTCCAAATTTTTATTGAAATTTTCACCTTGAAAATGTGGAATCAATCTTCTAAAATCATCTGATTTAAAATCATCGATAGACTTATATCTTCCCTAAAAAAAATATACATATATTTGTAAATCGGTACATTTCATAAAATACAAAGACAATTTAAAAATGATAAATACTGTTAGAATCCGCGTCCAAGTGGACTATAAGCCACTATAGTGACACCTAAATCACGAAAAGCTTCCATAATTCCACTTATTTCAATATCAAGTGTCTAAGGACTATATTCAATCTTAAAAATAATTTTAATTTTTAATACAGATTGAAAAGGGTTATTATTAGTTATGTTGAATATTAAAAATAATGTCTGTCAATATTATATATAAAAATTGAACTTACTTGAACTGCGACAATAGGATGAACTTTATAAGCACGTTGAAGAGTTTCTGCAGAACATTCAGAAAGACTAATATATTTAATTTTTCCTTCTTTAACAAGTTCTGCTAGAGCGCAAATAGTATCTTCAATGGTTTTACAAAAATCATAAATTAATAGTTCATTATTTCAATTCTTGTCAATATCATGTAAATCCTAAAATAACTTTTTTACTTACGTATTAGGATCTACAATAAAGATCGATATAATCCACTCCAAATCTTTTTAGAGTTTTCGCAAGATTAATGAACGTATTCTGGTTTACCTGATACACTAAATTCGCCATTTGGACCTCGAACGATGCCAAAATTTGTACAAAGAAACAATTCATTATGACGATCTTTAAGAACTTTTAAAAGGAGAATTTCATTAGCTCCATTATCACAAATATCCTTTATATTTTAAATTAACAAATTCAATATATCATTTTCGTTATTCTAAGCTAAATTATTAGAAAGTTTAAATACAAACAGCAGAATCCCAAAATGTACATCCTAAATCAATTGCTTGATTCAATACTTTAATATTTTCTTGTTTATCGGCTGAGCTGTAAGTAAGTTGTTAAAAGATTATATAATTAATGATGTTGATACTCGATACCAATTGATGAACACACCATGCCAATTACGGAAATTTTTACGCCAGTTTTACTAAATTAATGAAGTAACTTTTTTTTTTAAAAAAAAATAAAATAAAATAATTCGACTGAGGTTAATAATAATAATATATATTTTTACGAATTGAATCGTATAGTGAATTTGAGAAGTATTTATTGTTATTTATTGATGCACAAGAATCCAAAAAAGAAACCGCCAGGTAAATTTTTGGACATGGTGATGCGATCCAAAATTTGTCCATCCGGACAATCCACCTTCAATCGGTTCGAATTCAGATAGCGAATAATTTTCTGGATGCATCATCATCCAGCATGGATAAATCTGCGTTTATTCGTTATCCATTGGTATAATAGAGAACATCAGAGTTAAGTAATTTCCTCAACTTTGTTTTTTACAACCATCTTCAATCATTTTTTTACAGCTATTTAAAAAAACCGCAAGTCAGAATCACGTGATTATAATGCTGGCCAGGGCTATTAATGTTCTGCCAACACCTTTGATATCTGGATATCCGTAGTCGGATGTAACGTACGGATAGTATGACTAGCCCCAGCAAATCGCATATTCTAATTAAGTTATAAAATTCATATTTATTATTTTTTTAACTACAATTCCAAAGTAATTTATCAAAGAGTAATAATAGAAAAAAATCCTAAAAAAGAATAGTCAGATTTAAAGGTAGGATAAGTCTGGGATAAAATATGGATTTATGACAAAAGTATATTACATAATTGGATCAATTTAAATTCTCCCTTTATTAATGCATTCCAGTTAATTTTTTATAGTGATGATAATAAAAATCTTATTTTCAGAAGTAAAAGACAAATATTATGATAGAAAAAAAAATGGTATATTTTACCTTAGATTTCTTTGTTTGTTTGCTTTTTGTAATGTTTTTTACAGGGCTTAATAAAGAAATGCGTGTTACCAATTAAAAAATCCGCAGTAATTGAGGACCCAGCAGAAATACATATATAAGGGTCAGGTGGCGAAAATTTTTTTTACTGTACACATAATTGACACCTGATATTGAAAATCACAAAAATTAAGCAAATAAAATTTCAGACATTAAGTTATAAATTATTTTATCATGAATTCTATATTATTTATAAAACCAAATACTAATGTGAAAAAATGGAATTTATTCTAATTTATCATTTTTTCAATAATATTTTTCTAAAATTTCACTTTTTAACCCTTAGAAATTTCTTTCAATTAATACTAAATATTACGATGCGGTTAACGTACAGTAAATATATTATATATAGATTATCCAAAAATATGTAAACTAATTTTTACATGTAAAAATTTTGATAAAAAATACGCAATCTTGATGAGGACCTAACTATGGGTGAAAAATTCTTAAATTGTACGCAAATCAAAACTTTACTCCGTCTAATTCCACTATGATGGACGATTGGTCGATTGGTCGATTGGACGATGCATCTGTGCACCTACCCCTGTATATATATTTCTGGGTCCTAGTAATTGAAGTAAATATGGTATTTGATCAACATGAAGCTATGATAAATATGTTCAAGTTCCAAACTTGAAATTTTGCGCCTTCTTTCTTAAAAAAAAAAAAAATGACGGCTTCAAAATTTTTGACAGAATTATCCAACGATTACAAAAAGCTTTTTGAAGAAGAAATAGGATATGACGTTATTATTTATGCTGGAGAAGAACCGAATGTAAAAGAAATTCATGCTCATTCAAATATTTTGTGTATCAGGTCTCAATATTTTCGTACTGCATTTTCTAATGAATGGGCTGAAAAAAAAGATGGAAAATTTATTTTAAGGAAACCAAATATTTTACCTCACTTATTTAATATCATTCTAAGGTAATGTATAATTATAAAAAAATTTTAAAATTTTTATTTGATATTTATTTAACATTATATTTATTTACAATTATTAAAAATTAGATTTATTTATTATGGAAATATTGAATTGAAAGATTTACAAGGATCAGATGTTTTAAAACTATTAATTGCAGTAGATGAACTTAATATTCAACAATTAATTTCTCATATTCAAGAATATTTGATTGAGCATCAGACTGAATTTTTAAATCAAAATCCTGCTGGTATTCTAGAAACTGTTTATCAACATGAAACTTTCACAGATTTATGGAATTTTTGTCTTGAAAAAATTTGTGAAGAACCCGAAATTTTATTTAATTCTGATAAATTTATTAATTTAAAGGCTCCTTTATTGGAATTATTATTAAAACGAGATGACTTAAATATGGATGAAATTAAAATTTGGGAAAACTTATTGAAATGGTGCTTTGCTCAACAAAATATGATTGATGATCCAACAAAGTGGAGCAAAGACGAAGTTACAAAGATTGAAAGATCATTACACAGATTTATTCCTCTAATTAGATTTTATGATATCAAACCTGCAGATTTCTTTTATAAAGTTTATTGTTATAAGGAAACCTTACCTCAAGATTTAATTCACAATCTTTTAGAATTTCATATAGTTCCTAACATGAAACCTAAAATTAATGTACCACCTTCAAGAAAACCAAATTTAAAAGTTAAACTTGATTCAAATTTAATTGAATCAAAACACATTCCTTTATTTGCTTCATGGATTGATAAAAAAGATACCTCTTATAGTGTAAATGGTATCCCTTATGAATTTAAGTTATTATATCGTTCAAGTAGAGATGGGTTTAGCGCTACATCATTTCACAAAAATTGTGATAATAAAGGAGCTACTATTTGGATGGCAAAAATTCAAGGTTCAACTCAATTAATTGGAGGATACAATCCACTTGATTGGAATAGAAGTGGTAACTACAAAAATACTTTAGATAGTTTTCTATTTAATTTCCCAGATGGAAAAGACATTTCCACTGCAAAATTAGGATATGTTAACTATGCAAATTGTGCTATTTGCTGCAGTAGTAATCAAGGTCCTAGTATGGGTAATTTAGATTGCAAAAGTTCTAATAGTAATTGGGAATTTCATACTGATTGGAGTGGTTACCCTAACATAAATATTCCAGAAACTTTTACAGTGGATTGTTATGAAGTATTCCAAGTAATAAGATGCTAAAATATAATTATAAAATTTGATTTTAACAAGAAAGAATTTTTTATTAGATAAAATTTTCTTTTCAAATTAGTAAATATCAAAATTTTTTTCACTAAAATTTATATATTATTGTATTGGCGATTTCTATTTGTACACGGGGTGTTCAAACACGGGTTTCCAAAAAAGTAAATTTCCTATGCTGATCATTTAATGTTGGGCAGAATTAAATTTAACGAAAACAGGAAAAAAAAGAATTTGTTAAATAATCAAAATTGGCATTCAAAATCAAACTTTCACGCTTTAAGTAAACTTGCAGAACAGACAAAAATACACATACTTCATGTTCCTTTTAAAATTATAATTATTAAAAAATTTTTTTTACATAACTTTTTAATAAAGTCACGTGATACGCGTATGAACACCCCGTGTAAATTAAGAAATTCTCAATATAAAATTCTTTTAAATTTCTTCCATTATTTTCCAAGAATTTAATTAAATAATCATTTCTTGGAGATACTTCAATGAATTTTAATAATTGTAATTGAGAAAAAGTAATATATTGTAATTTTTTGAAATCTTCAAAACAATCATTATTGAAAAATGCTAGTCTAAGTTCTTTTAAATTTGTAAGTTTAGCAATAAATGATAATGACATATAATGATTTCTTCCACAAATAAGTAAGTTGTCCAAGGTATCAGGAAGTTTTTCTAACAAAATTAAGTCTTTCAATTCTTTATTACTAACATGTGTTATTTCCAATTCTTTTAAATTTTTCTGTGTAGAAATCAAATCTGTTAATCCATTTGAAATGTCTTTTTCAAAAGATAATTTTAATCTTTGTATATTGTGACATATTTCAGATAACTGAGTAAAAAATTCAGTATTAAGATTTGGATAACAACATAATTCTGAAAGATTTTTTAAACAATCTTTTGCTTCAGGATATGATGTAAAAGCTGTTGAAAGTCTGCTTGTTGTAATGTATAATTCTTTTAAAGAAAAATTCTGACTCATGAGTAATTTTAATATTTCTTGTGACACTACATGTGTCTTATTTTTTAAATTGTGATATGGAAAAGGTAGTTGCTTTTTAATAAGCTTTCTAATATTACAATTTATATCATCAATTGATAAAAATTTACAAAATGATGCATAATTAAACATTGGAGGTTTGGAATTTAATATTGAAATTCCATTCTCATGTAAAATTTTTTTTGATTCATTTGGAAGACAAGTGAATAAAGTGTTATAATTTATAATATCCGTCCATAAAATCCTGACAGAAATTTCACACCAAAGGCGATTGACTAATAAGCAAGAATATAAAGTATTTTTATCTTTTTCTAAGTGTTCAAAAATTTCGATAAGATAATCAACATAAAATTGTGGCATTTTAACGAATATAGGGTTTAAGTAGTATACTGTATATGGCGTACATATTACAATTTACATATTTATTTATTTGTCATCGGCTACACAATTTTTTTTATTTTTTTTCATTGGCTACACAATAGATTTCTAGAAGCCGGATAAATTTGGATTGATTATCCGGTTTTGCACGTAAGTTTACCAAAATTTGCCGCAGCCGCAGTAAATTTGCGATTAATTCAATATTATATTGGTCCACATTTGCAATTCAACATAAAATATCAATTTTGAAAGTGATATATTGTGAGAAAGTTGTTTTTTAAAGATGCATATTCAAATGCATTTAATATTTTTTTTTTTTGTAGTAATTTTAAAAAAGAAATTCTTCCATGCACGTTAGAATAAGAATATAATTAATTAACTCTTGATCGTGAAGTACGCCCTTATCAGAAATACCTAAAACTATTACAAAGAAATGGAGATGAAATGTATGGTCAAAGTTTGTAAAAATGAAGTATTTGAGTTATGAATAATTTTAATATTTCTTGTGATTTTATATTATACTAATATTTAAACTTTGTGATGAAATGGATTTTGATTTTTAGGAAGTAACTCGAAATTGTAATAAACTTTTTCAGCTTGGTAATAAAAATTCTTTATTTGAATAAAAAAAAAAAGAACTCTAAAATGTTATAAAAATATTGTATAAATCGTTTAAAGTAATTTTATTTATTATAAATAATCGTTAATCAATAATTTTTATCATATACCTATTTATAAGAAAATATAATATTAATTAATGTTAAACTATTAAAATTCCTTTTTAAAATTTATTATTAATTGACTCTAAATTCTTAATATTGTGTCTTAAATATATAAAATATTTATATATTCAAATATAAATTATTCGCCTCAGAAAACAGTTTTCTATTAAAAGTTAAAATTGTATAGATAGAAAAAATACTTCATGGCAAAAGGGTATAAAATAGGAAAATTTTCTTTTCTTTCTTTCCATCATGTGAATGGATTTGCTTTCTAAGTCAAATTCTTCTTGATCTAGATTAGATATTCAGTAGCCTCAGCACACACAGGAGGAGTGGGTTTCTTTAACATAATTAATATTGAGTATACTATATTATTACTAGCTCCTATATTTGATTCATTTTTCTGTAACCTTTTTGGAATCAGATATAAAGGATAACCTCTTTATTCTAAGGTCTAAAAGGCTATAAAGAATTAAATTTGGATCTTGGAGATGTTTAGCATTGATGAGACTTACTGTATACTGCACTACATGTATGGAGTTGATAAGTTACAAAAGTAGAGTGTGAAGTGTGAACCAAAATTTATTATGCCCTATTAAAATAATCATGGTTGCAATTTATCATAATTTATTTTGACTAGGTTATGGATATTATTTTACACTTACGAATAAAAAAAAGATCATAACTTTATATTCTATTCTATTTATACTTTCTTAATATACATTGCTCAATGTCCAATTGTCCATTACATCTATTAAATATTATAAATAACTAGTTTTGATACATAACAATCTGAAAAGTTATCAAACTTTTCATTTCTAATTCTATTGTTTTCTCTTTTTATTTTATTGCAATAAAACGTTACTAAAAGTGGCAGAATCAACTGTAAATTATTTGTAATTTTAATACCACTAAGTTATATTATTTGATGAATATCTGGGTTTACTTGGCAATTTGCATGTAGATTTAATCAATAAAGGTAAGGGTTTTTTTTCGGACACACTAAGACCATATCTCAATTAGGGATGGCAACGGTGATTTCTTCTATAATTTTTAACAAAGTGATTCGGATTAAAACATAATTAAGATTATAAATATCCTGTAATTAATATTAAAATATGTAATGAAACTTTATTCTTATTACATTAAATTTCAATTTCATTTAATGGAATTTAAAAAATTTTATTAACAAAATCGTCCAGAAATACACCAACAATCACCATCTGTACTTAGAACAAATTCGTTAGCTATCTATTATTTATGGTTTCAAAAATATTATTTTAATCTATTAATTTAAACTACTGACTTTTGCTTATTTATGAGCTCAGTTTATATTATACTGTAGTATTGATTTTTTAAATTGAAATTTAGAATATAAAAATATCATTGAGTAAATTAAATTATAAGGGTATTACTAAATATCACCACCACCAGTGGTGAATTTAAGATGTAATGCCGGCCAGTGTTTTATTAGATTTTTAATAATTCTAGTATGGTGACAATCACCGCTGATGAGCTTTAGCATTAAAATTTTATAAAGGATAAAATAAAACACTTAAATTAAAAATTTCCAATTTTTAAAATATTTATTGCTCTAACCTTAATGTTTAAATAAATAAATGAAATTTAATTTATAAGATAATATACAAAATAACGAATTTTTATCAAAGTTATAAAATGATGGTGATCTGTACATCCACCGCTTTCCTGATATGTAGGTTTGATGGTCAACAAATCTGAAATGCGTTTACGTTTTGCAGCTAAAAAGATTTAATTTTTTCAAAAAAAAAATTACAAAAAGAGGTATGTAGTTTTGTAGTCAGTGAACCCTGCAACAAAGAGTATTATAAATCATGGCAAATATCTAATAAACTGTAGAAATTAACTACTAACATACATGAGCGACTGTCCACCGATAAAAATCCATATACGAATCGTTTGATCGCGGTCATGAATATTTGATTATTTTTAAAGAATAAATACAGTCCATCGTTTGATTGAGAATTATTAGAAATAATAATTTCTTTCTTTTTTATTTTTTAAAGATATTTATAGCAATTTATTTGTGATTGTACCACATACGCCAGATAGAGTGAATGATACGCGTATAGCCGCGCACGTTATATCGTAAAATTTATTATTTTTATTTATCAACTGGAATTATCAAAAACTTAAAAATAAAATATTGCCTCGCAATTAAGTATTAAGCAAGACTTTTCTTGGCGGCATAATTAAGTAAAAGTAACCTAAACCAAGCACACTAATTTTTTCTCATATATAAGAAGCTTTCTCATTTTAATCGTTTCATTATAAATTTATTGTAATAATTTTCTTATTTTACTATATTATTTTAAGAAAATTAATGTCAAGCGTAATTTTAGGTTATAAAAGTCTCGAATAATAATCAATATAAAAAACGGTATATTAAATTCAGGATCTTTACCATATAATTAATTAAAATATTTTTAACTGTTCTTTTGATTTATATATATACAGTAATTTCTATATAAATAGGAAACATAGAACGTCTACATTCAGTTATCAAATAATAATAATTTAATTTGTACTTAAACAAATTAGTTTTTTAGAAGCAATCAGCCAATCACTTTATAAGAATTATTTGCGTCTAACTAATATATGGATTCATCTGTTGTTAATTAAATTATACTTTAAGCATTAAATTTAGTTTTGTTCAAAAATTGGAAATCAGTTAAAAAATCCATAAATTGTACGCAAACCAAAATCTAACCCTGTAGAAAATTTCTATGATGGTGACGCAATAATGCACCCTATCTCTACATATATACTTCGGGTCCTGTTTTGCGTCTATTTTACTTTTTAGTACTTTTAATACAAATGTTTGAAGCAACTAGAAAAATATATTGATAGGTTTATTTGGTAAGTAATGTTATTTAATTGCATATTTCAATTGGTATTTTTTAAATATAAAGGTTTATTTAAATTTGCATATTTTTAATAAAAATTTGGCAGATGATCTATGTATAATATACGCACAATATTTCAACTCATCATCTCACTTTGAATAATATTTGTCATATTGGACCAACTAATGTATCAGTTGAAGAAAATATATTGAAGCTATTGAGAAATGAAAAACAGTATTATATGGTTATTTTGGTCGAAAAGACAATTGAAAAAATACAATAGCAATATTTTTTTGCTTTTAATAACAGATAATATTTTTATTTTTATTTTTATTTTTATTTTTATTTTTTATTTTTAATATGTAGACGAGAACTGAGGTTTGATAAAATTAATGTTTGATCAACCATCACACGATAATAAAGCCAAGTAATTGCCTAATTGGTTGCTTACTATTTGGAGTTAGGTGTAAATTTTGCGTACTGGCCGGTCCTTTCAAAACCGCAGTAATTAAAAATCTTATTTCCAGTTTAATACAAGATCATCATAAACAAATATAAATAATGATTCTCCCTAAACTTTAAACTTCTATTACTTTTTCCGACTATTTATTGAAAAACAATGTCATCAAAATTTTGGGCAGAGTTGTCTAACGATTACGAGAAACTTTTTGAAACTGAAATTGGATATGATGTTATTATTTATGCCGGGGAAGAACCAAATGTCAAAGAAATTCATTCTCATTCAAATATTTTGTGCATTAGGTCCCAATACTTTCGTTCTGCATTTTCTAATGAATGGGCTGAAAAAAGAGATGGAAAATTTATATTCAGAAAACCGAATATTTCGCCACAATTATTTAATATCATTCTTAGGTAATTTATAATAATTTTTTTTATTAATAAAATATAATCAATATTTCTAATTATTATTATATTTAGGTTTATTTATTGTGGAAATATTGAATTAGAAAAATTACAAGGTTCCGACGTATTGAAATTATTGGTAGCAGTTGACGAGCTCAACATCAATTCATTGATTTCACATATTCAAGAATTTTTGATTGATCATCAAACTGAATTTTTACAACAAAATCCAACTGAAATCCTTGAAACCGTTTATCAACATGAAACATTTACGGATTTATGGGATTTCTATCTTGAAAAAGTTTGTATAGAACCTGAAATTTTATTTAATTCTGAAAAATTCAATAATTTAAAAGCTCCATTATTAGAATTATTGTTAAAAAGGGATGATTTGAATTTAGATGAAGTTGAAATTTGGGAGAATTTGCTGAAATGGTGTTCTGTTCGTCAAAATATAGAGAATGATTTAACAAAATGGAGCAGAGAAGATATTGCAAATATTGAAAGAGAATTGCACAATTTTGTTCCTTTAATTCGATTTTATGATATTGAACCTGTAGACTTCTTCTATAAAGTTTATTGTTATAAAGATATTTTACCACAAGATTTAATTCATGATCTTTTGGAATTTCATATAGTACCTAATGTGAAATCTAAGGCTAATTTACCATCTTCAAGAAAATCAAATCAAATTAATTCAACTTTAATTGAACCAAGGCATATTCCTGTTTTTGCTTCATGGATTAATAAAAAAGATTCTTCTCATTATAATAAAAAAGATACTCCTTATAATTTTAATTTATTATATCGTTCAAGTCGAGATGGAATTGGTACTAGCTCTTTTCACAGAAATTGTGATGATAAAGGAGCTACCATTTTTATAGCAAAAATTAAAGATTCGACACAATTAATTGGAGGGTATAATCCACTTGATTGGAATGGAAGTAAATGGAAAACTACAGCAGATAGTTTTTTATTTAATTTTATAGATAGGAAAAACGTTTCTACTGGAAAAGTAAGCTATATTAATAAACAAGCTCAAGCTATTTATTGTAGTAATACTTGGGGGCCAACTATGGGTAATTTATACTGTAATCATGATAATAAGTGGTATTATGATATTTATTCTGATGGTGAGCGCTATCCAAATATAGGAATCCCAAAAAAATTTGAAGTAGTAGATTATGAAGTATTTCAGATAGTTAAAAAATAATTAATTATTACTAAATCATACCATGGTGTAATTGACACTAATTATTGTTATTATTTTATTTGTATGTTACTTATTTTTCATTAATAATTCAGCAAATCTTATTCTGCTAATATAATAATTGTATTTCACATAATAGCATTTAATGCCTAAGCAGGAACTTTATGTATATTTTATATGGTTTGCTATATTTGCAGTACAATAAAAAAATCATAGTCAGATCTTTTTTTTCTTGATCATTTATGGAGAGTTTAGCAATTATAATTAGCATAGCTGTTTATCTATGCATAGAAGTTTTGTGAAAACACAGAGAATAATTATAAACAATAATAAATTATTACTCCATTATTCAAAAAACATAAGTTTCCAAAACTGACTTTTATTGTAAGAAATTAAATAATTACTTGAAATTGCATACTATATTTATTTTTATCAACAAATTTGTTTATACACTAATATTAGTACTCTTACCCTATAAAAAATAAATGTCCAGAGAATGTCTACGAAAACGTCTGGAAACTGTCCAGAATAAATCTGGCATGTCCAGAAATTGTCCAGAAAATGTCTATTTTTTGCTACAGGTTTGATACTTAAAATTTTGACATATCCGGAATTTGTCCAGAATTTGTCCAGTATAAAATTTTGGACAAATTCTGGACAGATAAACCAGGACAAATTCCAGATATAGTAAAAATTCAGAAAGGACATGAAAAAATTCTGGACGCTACTTCCAAAAAAGGATAAATTAATTTGTAAAAAAAATGCAAAAAGCACAAAACTGACATTCATAACCTTCTTTGTCATACTAATTAAATTTGCTGAGCACTATATATCTATGATATAAAACTTTAAATTAAGAGCAACTATAATGATTGTTACATATATATTGATCATCTTTTATGACAAATTTTATGAAAAAATAATTTTTGGACAAATTCTGGACAAAATGAGTGTCCGGAAACAAGTGTGTTTTCGGAACAATTTCTGGACATGGTACCTAGACATTTTCTGGACAATTATTTAGACAAAATTTCTGGACAATTTCTGGACACTTATTTTTTATAGGACTATAAAGAAAACACTAAATGCTTACCCTAATTTTAGGAGGTGATCCGCTGTGTAAACTAACGAGTACCCACTGTAACTTATGACAGGTACCTGCTATTTTTGCTGCAAGTACCAGTTAATTTATATAGCGGGTTTTTTAATTCTTTTATTCATAAAATTCAAATATTAGAAAGCTGTGCCGTTTATAACCAGATTTATAGACAAATAAGATTTCATTAGAAAATTGTCATCAGATGATGTTAGTAACAAAAAAAAAAATTTTATTATAAATGTCACACCCTTCTAATACTGTACATTAATTTTGTGGGCCATTTTATAGCAAGCACCTGCCATTTGTTATAGCAGGTACCTGTCAATAGTAATTGCAAGGTGCCTGTTAGTTTATAAAGCAGGTTGCCTTGCATCAGGAGAATAAAATAAGCGTAGATCTACAAAATAATACACGTGTGAAAAAACTACACAAATCTACACCACTCGCGACAATATATGAGTGTGAAAAATTTAGAGGAATTTTCGATAGTATAAAATGGTGTATTTTTAAAAATGACGTAGTTTTTTTAATGTATGCAAATTACACTTAGTACGTAATAACCTGCATAAAATTTTTTTTTAAAAAAAAAATTTCCCAGGGGAAAAAAAAACTTTCCCAAGTGAAAAAAAATTTTTTTTTAAAAAAAAAAAAAAAAAATTCCCAGGCAAAAAAAATATATAGATATATAATGGCCAATTTACATTTATATTATGCATATTTTGGTAAAAAATAATGTAGTAAAAATTTTCTCTTAATTTTTTTCACTTTTATATTTATTATTTTTTTTTACTCACATTAAGGAGTTGAACTGAATACATTTTATTATTTTTTACTTACACTAAGAGTCGAACCGAATACCTCATAATTAATTACATTTTATTTATTTATTTTTTTTTACTTACACTAAGAATCGAACTGAATACCTCGAGATAAACTATTAATATATTAAGTCTCATTATCCGACCACTACACTATTTGTTCTTTTTTTTTTTAATTATTAATATTATATTTCATATTTTTCTTAGAGTAAAAATGTATTTATATAATTTTTTTTTTAGTGTAGATATTTAAAATAAAACAAACTTCATTTGCTAATTTTCCTTGACTCAGTGTTAAGAATATTTTTAATTGTTATCATATATTATTAGAAATTTTTTTTTAGCGTATATATCTAATATCTATTTGTGTAAAATTTAATCAACTTTTTTAAATAAAAATTTTTCAAAATATTTTAGGTTACATTTTCGCGTGGGTTATGCAAAATCATGTATTTATGCAAATTTCGAAAGTGTAGATTGCTGAAACTACCTACTTATGTAGAATTTATGAAACTTTTTAAGATACAAAATCAATGAAATATTTTTTTAAATTGTTTTTTTGTGTAGATTACTTAAATCACATGTTCAAGAAGTTATTTCAAGATATAAAACTTCAAAACTACCTATTCACGAAAATTTTATGGCATTTTTTAAGATACGCCTTATTAAATATATAGTACCTATGTTTTAAGTGTAAATTATGCAAAATTGTATATTTATAGATTTTTATGGAGTATAAATTTCCAGGGATTATACATATTTGACAACTCTACGCTAATATTCGCCTCATATAATCTCCTGATGTGTGTCCTGTCATAATAATTTCAGATCCCGCCGTAAAAATAACGTATACATGCTCATAATTTAACTATATACGCTGTAATATTAATTACTACGCACTTTTGACCATGGTGACTCATTTCTCTATTCTTCTAAAAATTTTGTGTCATAAAATTGTATAAATAAGAGTCTTTAATTGTTATTATTTATTCAATAATAAAAAATGACTTCAAAATTTTTAGTAGAGTTATCTAATGATTATATTACCTGAAATTGCATACAAGTTGCTTACTTTATCAACAAATTTGTTTATCATGCACTAATGTTACTCTTATAAAAAAAAACGCTCAATAATTCCAGAGTTATTATTCATATTTGTAGAATCTAAGAATGGCGAAATAATTACCTAAAAAAAAAATAAATAGAAATATATAAAACGGGTATTCTTTTATTATTAATATATTATAGGCGCAGTATTCAATTGCTGATTAAATTTAGTGTTACGATCATCGTAAAATTGTATAAATAAGGGTAACAAGGAATCGGCTAGTTATTATTTATTCTCTTTTTTATAATAATAAAAAAATGACTTCGAAATTTTTGTTAGAGTTATCTAACGATTATGAAAGACTTTTTGAAACAGAAATTGGATATGACGTTATTATTTATTCCGGAGAAGAATCAAATATCAAAGAAATTCATGCTCATTCAAATATTTTGTGCATTAGATCTCAATACTTTCGCTCTGCATTTTCTAATGAATGGGCTGAAAAAAGAGATGGAAAATTTATATTCAGAAAACCAAATATTTCGCCACAATTATTTAATATCATTCTTAGGTGATTTATAATAATTTTTTTTATTAATAAAATAAAGTATTTCTAATTATTATTTATATTTAGGTTTATTTATTGTGGAAATATTGAATTGGAGAAATTACAGGGTTCCGACGTATTGAAATTATTGATAGCAGTTGATGAACTCAATATCAATTCATTGATTTCACATATTCAAGAATTTTTGATTGATCATCAAACTGAATTTTTACAACAAAATCCAACTGAAATTCTTGAAACCGTTTATCAACACGAAGCATTTGCGGATTTATGGAATTTCTATCTTGAAAAAGCTTGTATAGAACCTAAAATTTTATTTAATTCTGATAAATTTATTAACTTGAAAGCTCCATTATTAGAATTATTGTTAAAAAGGGATGATTTGAATTTAGATGAAATTGAAATTTGGGAGAATTTATTGAAGTGGTGTTCTGCTTGTCAAAATATAGAGAATGATCTAACAAAATGGAACAGAGAAGATATTACAAAGATTAAAAGGGAATTGAATAGATTTATTCATTTAATTCGATTTTATGATATTGAACCTGCAGATTTTTTTTATAAGGTTTATTGTTATAAGGATATCCTACCACAAGATTTAATTCATGATCTTTTGGAATTTCATATAGTACCTAATGTGAAACCTAAAGATAATTTACAACCTTCAAGAAAAACATATTTTAAAAAACTTGATTCAACCTTGACTGGATCAGACTGTATTCCTGTTTTTGCTTCGTGGATTGATAAAAAAGATTCTTCACATTATAATAAAAAAGATGCTCCCTATAATTTTAATTTATTATATCGTTCAAGTCGGGATGGAATTGATCCTGGTTCTTTTCACAGAAATTGTGATAATAAAGGAGCTACTATTTACATAGTAAAAATTAAAGATTCAACACAACTAGTCGGAGGATATAATCCACTTGACTGGAATGGAAATGATTGGAAAACTACATCAGATAGTTTTTTATTTAACTTTACAGATAAGAAAAATGTTTCTACTGGAAAAGTAAGCTATGTTAATAAACAACATCGTGCTGTTTATTGTTATTATAGTTGGGGGCCAACTATGGGTAATTTATACTGTAAATATGATAATAGGTGGTATTATGATATCTATTCCGATGGTGAGCGATATTCTAATATAGGAATTCCAAAAAGATTTGAAGTGGAAGATTATGAAGTATTTCAAGTAGTTGAAAAATAACCAAATGTTATTAATTTACGCCATTATGTAATTGAAACTGATTATTGTTAATGTATTATTATATGTTTTTTTATATGTTACTTACTTTTTATTCTATATTATTATTAGTAATCCAGCCAATCTTATTAAGCATATATTTTATATTTTTCTCACATTTTTTTTTATTTTTTTACATTTACAGTACAATAAAAAAAAATAAGTATAATTAGATCTTTTTTCAACTAATTATAAGGGAACTGGATCATTTTAATTAGCAAAGCTTGTTTAATTTAGCTATGGTGTATAACACCAGTCGTGTGGTTTAGTGAAGTCAAAAATTAATAAAAAGGATAATTATATTATTACTTCATTATTCAAAAAGTTTTTCAAAATTAATTCTTATCTGTAAGAAATTGCACAATAAATATTAATTACCAGAAATTACATACAAATACTAGTTATACCTAAACTACTACTTACTAATTATACCTATTTTATCAACAAATTTGTTACTCTAATATATATGCACTTGTCACATTATAAACTTGTATTGCGAAAGGTGATTCTGGAGAAATTTAGACTTATGAGGAAGGAATAATTATTATCAAATGCTAAACTCATCATACACATCGTGTGATAACCGTTATAACTGATAATAGGTTACGGTACATTTTGTCGAAAGGACGTTTCGCCAAAGGGACATTTCGCCAAAGTCATTTCAGAAATGATAGCGACTATCACATTTATAAAAATATTAAACGCGCAATGAAAATAAAAATTTTTTATTAAGTTACATCAGTAACCTTAATAGATATTCTGATTTACACTCAAATATACAACAAATGTATAAAATAAAATCTTAGATGTTGATTGAGTGCTTTAATATTTTCATTTTTTAGTTTCTATTTACATTCTTTACCTATTTTGCAATAAAAATAAAAATTAAATAAACGTTTGAACAAAAAAATTATTTTTAAGTGTCTTTTCTTCTATGATATTATTACTTTAACATTCAAATAAAGTAACTGACATTAATTGTTAAGCAATAATTATTTTCCTGAAAACATTTATTCAGTAAAAAATGATTAATATATTATAAGCAACAAGACAAATTTAATAAAAATTAGCTAAATTCTTCATATATTTAGTATAAAAACAATAAAATAAACAAATAATGTAACAAATAATATTTCGGCAAACGTCCATTCGGCGAAGTTGCTTCGGTAAAATGTCCATTTAGTAAAATGTCTATTAGGCGAAATAACCATTCAGCGAAATGGCTTCAGCGAAATGGGGTTTCAGCGAAACGTTGGTGAAATGGCTTCGGCGGCAAAATGTTCGTGATAATAAGTATGCAGCAAATATTATTACTTAATATTATATATGGAAAATTAAATTTTGTAAGATGCTATTAGAAGTATGACTGAATTTTTACTAACAAGGATATTTATGATGACTCGTGTAATTTTATTAAAATCAGATGATGATCGTATTATAAAATTTGATTCTTTGATTCTTGCACATTGAGTTACTGTTGGAATATTATGCATGATTTTCACGGCACAGTCATGAAAATCATTATCTACAGGTCTCTGTGAAATAACTATTACTTATTAAATTATATCAAAATGATTATCTAGCACAAATTAAAATCTAAATTTTGCTGATATATGTATAAATATAACCACAGTTCCCTCTAATTCCATTATACAAACAATTCATCAACCATGAAATATATAGTGTATTTCTTAATACGTTCTCTAATATCTTTGCTTGGGATTATAATTATGATTGCACAGGTAAGCTATCTAAGAACGATTTTTATTCTTGCACAAGATAGCGTTGTTAATAACCATCTATTTTTTTTTACTTTAATGCTATTTTATCGTAATAAAAAGATATTAGCATTTCAGACATTAAATTTACGCAAAGTAATCAGGTCGAAGTAACCGCGCATGGTCCACAAAGATATTCAAATCGTGAACATTTCCCTTGTTGTTTGCATCAGGGGCCAATGCTCATTAGTAATTATACATTTTTTTACACAAATGAGCCAAATAACCCGATTGCTACTACTGTTTGGAAACACCGTCAATGGGTAAATGGTTACTCTGAAGATAATTCTGTAGAGTTAGATGATTACCTATATTGGCCACCACCGGATTGTGACAAAGAAGTTTATCAAGGAGCAATTAATTACACGCGTACTAACAATTTTGATGCTTCAAGGTTCCCCCTCCAGGAGAGAAAGTCATAGTGTTAATGGATATATTTGCTCATTGTCTTTTTGACCCTGATGAATCAGGGCATACGTATTGCTATAGGGGGTGCGAAGTAAGAATTATCACAGATTATAATCCGCAAAAGTGAATGGATTCTTTTATCTTTGTAATTTGTCTTTTGTTATGCTATAAAATCCCTTTTAATTATTTAATTATTTATTAATAATTTTTATTATGATAATATTTTTTTAAATTCTTTTTTTCAACAAATCTTGTTTATATCGAAAGAAAATTAGCTGTTAGTATTTTATAATATACTATTATATTTTCATGTTACATTATATCTACGATTCAAATAAAAAAATTTTCAAAATTAATTATCGCAATGTGTCATATCATATCTTTCTAGTAGGTTCGATAAAAAAAACTTTTTTTTTTCTTTAATATGCTAATAATGTTTTTAACGCTAATAATATATGTAATTTTTGGGGTGAATGTTAATAATAAATGGGAATTTCTCGAATTGTTTATATTTTATTCATTGACTTTGTCACTTTAAGTCATTACAATATTTCTAAGTATAAAAAAAATTCTTTATTGAAAAATTAAAAATGCATTTTATATAAAACAATTTATCTTTTAACTACTTGAAATACTTCATAATCTTCTACTTCAAAATTTGTTGGAATTCCTATATTAGGATAACGCTCTCCATCACTATAAATCTTATTAGACCAATTATTATCTTTACAGATAATATTACCCATAGTGGGTCCATAAATACTATCACAATAAACAGCGCTATTTATACTGGTAACATAACTTACTTTTGCAGTTGAAATATTTTTTCTATCTGTGAAATTAAATATAAAACTATCTGCTGTAGTTTTCCAATATGAAACTCCATCCCAATCAAGTGGATTATACCCTCCAATTAATTGTGTTAAACCTTTGATTTTTGCTATCCAAATAGTAGCTCCTTTATAATCACAATTTCTATGAAAAAAATAAGGGTCAATTCCATCCCAACTTGAACGATATAATAATTTAAAATCATAAGAATTATTTTTTCTATTATAACGTAAAGGATTATTTTTATTAATCCACGAAGCAAAAAGAGGAAGATGGTTTGGTTCAATCAAAGTTGAATCAAGCTGATATTTTGAATTTAGTTTTCTTGAAGGTATCACATCAGATTTAAGTTCTACATTAGGAACTATATGAAACTCTAAAAGATCATGAATTAAATCTTGTGGTAAGATATCTTTATAACAATGGACTTTATAAAAGAAATCTGCAGGTTCAATATTATAAAATTGAATTAAAGGAATGAATCTGTGCAATTCCCTTCCAATTTTTGTAATATCTTCTTTGCTCCATTCTGTTGGATCATTATTCATATTTTGTTGAGCAAAACACCATTTTAACAAATTTTCCCAAATTTCAATTTCACTCATATACAAATCATCCCTTTTTAATAAAATTTCTAATAAAGAAGCTTTTAAATTAATGAAATCATCAGAATCAAACAAAACTTTAGGTTCCTCACAAATTTTTTCAAGATAAAAATTCCATAAATCTGTAAACATTTCATGCTCATATACTGTTTCAAGAATTTCAGTTGGATTTTGATGTAAAAATTCAGTTTGATATTTGATCAAAAATTCTTGAATATAAGAAATCAAAGAATATATATTGAGTTCATCTACTGCTATCAACAATCTCAATATATCAGGACCTTGTAAATCCATCAATTTAATATTACCACAATAAATAAACCTAAATATTAATTAGTAGTTAAAATATTTTTTTTTATAAAAAAAAATACATATATATTATACATACAAAAATTAAAATTCATTACAAATATTATAAATTACCTTAGAATAATAATAAATAAATGTGGTGCAATATTTGGCTTTTTGAAAATAAATTTTCCATCTTTCTTCTCTGCCCATTCATTAGAAAGTGCAGTGCGAAAATATTGGGACCTAATGCACAAAATATTTGAATGAGCATGAATTTCTTTGACATTTGGTTCTTCTCCGGCATAAATAATAACATCATATCCAATTTCTGTTTCAAAAAGTTTTTCATAATCGTTAGATAATTCTACCAAAAATTTTGAAGTCATTTTTTATTATAATAAATAATAACAATAAGAATTCTTATTATCCTCATTTATACAATTTTATGATGATCGTAACACCAAATTTCTAGAACAATGAGCAGCAAATCAGCTATTGAATACTGCGGCTAATAATATAAAAATAGAATGGTGCAGTTTTATTAATAAATAAATATGAAATATGAATAAACCGTTTTATAACACATTTCTATTTATTTTTTAAGTAATTATTTCGCCATTCTTGGATTCTATAAAATTGAAATAGTATTTATCGTTTTTATTATACTTAATAACACTAGAGCATAAACGAATTTGTTAATAAATAAATAGGTATAATTAGTAGCTGCATTGTAATTTCAAGTAATATTCAACTAATATTATTGTGCAATTTCTTACAAATGAATATTAATTTTGGAAAACTTATAATAAATAAAAAAAATAATTATATATACAGTAATTATTACTTCATTTAAAAAGCATAAGTTCAACAAGACCACATCATTGGCGTGATTTCAGAAAACTATACATAAATTAAAAAAGCTATGCCAATTAAAATTGTTAAACTCTCCATAAATGGTCAAAAAAAGAGAACTAAATATATGAATTTTATTGTACTGCAATGAAATATGCGAGAAACTTAAATAAATATGCATGAAGTATATCATGCTACAGTATTAAATGCTGTAATATGAAATACAATTATTATATAACTAAGATTGGCTGGATTACTAATAATTTAGAATGAAAAAAATAAGTAACATATTACCGTGCTCGTCTTGGAGATTGGGAATTTCGTCAGATAAATGTTATGTAATACATTAACAATTGCCATGGTGTGATATAATAAAATTATTTATTTTTTAACTATTTGGAATACTTCATAATCTTCTACTTCGAATGCTGGTGGAATTCCTATGTTAGGATAGCGCTCTCCCTCACCATAAATCTTATAATACCATTTATTATTGTCACAGTATAAATTACCTATGGTTGGCCCCCAATTATAATAACAATAAACAGCATGATCTTGTTTATTAACATAGCTTACTTTTGCAGTAGAAACATTTTCCTTATCTGTAAAATTAAATAAAAAACTATCCGCTGTAGTTTTCCATAAACCTCCATTCCAGTCAAGTGGATTATACCCCCCGACTAATTGTGCTGAATTTTTAATTTTTACTATATAAATAGTAGCTCCTTTATTATCACAATTTCTGTGAAAAGATCTAGTATCAATCCCATCCCGACTTGAACGATATAATAAATTAAAATTATAAGGGGTATTTTTTTTATTATAATGTAAAGAATCTTTTTTATCTATCCATGAAGCAAAGAGAGGAATATGTCTTGATCCAATTAAAGTTGAACCAATTTGATTTGATTTTCTTGAAGGTGGTAAATTAGCCTTAGATTTCATATTAGGTACTATATGAAATTCCAAAAGATCATGAATTAAATCTTGTGGTAAAATATCTTTATAACAATAAACTTTATAGAAGAAGTCTGCAGGTTCAATATCATAAAATCGAATTAAAGGAATAAATTTGTGCAATTCTCTTTTAATATCTGTAATATCTTCACTGCTCCACTTTGTTAGATCATTCTCCATATTTTGATGAACAAAACACCACTTCAGCAAATACTCCCAAATTTCAATCTCATCTAAATTCAAATCATCCCTTTTTAACAACAACTCTAATAATGGAGCTTTCAAATTAATAAAATTTTCAGAATTAAACAAAATTTTAGGTTCTTTACAAACTTTTTCAAGACAGAAATTCCATAAATCAGTAAATGCTTCATGTTGATAAACGGTTTCAAGAATTTCAGTTGGATTTTGATGTAAAAATTCAGTTTGGTGATCAATCAAAAACTCTTGAATATGTGAAATCAATGAATTGATGTTGAGCTCGTCAACTGCTACCAATAATTTCAATACGTCGGAACCTTGTAATTTTTCTAATTCAATATTTCCACAATAAATAAACCTAAATATAATAATAATTAGAAATATTTTATTTTATTAATAAAAAAAATTATTATAAATCACCTAAGAATGATATTAAATAATTGTGGTGAAATATTTGGTTTTCTGAATATAAATTTTCCATCTCTTTTTTCAGCCCATTCATTAGAAAATGCAGAACGAAAGTATTGGGACCTAATGCACAAAATATTTGAATGAGCATGAATTTCTTTGATATTTGGTTCTTCTCCGGCATAAATAATAACATCATATCCAATTTCTGTTTCAAAAAGTCTTTCATAATCGTTAGATAACTCTGTCAAAAATTTTGAAGTCATTTTTATTATTATAAAATAATGAAAAAATAGAATAAATAATTGAAGCTGGTTCCTTGTTACCCTTATTTATACAATTTTATGATGATCGTAACACTAAATTTCTAAAATAAAAAGCAATTAAATACTGCGGTTATAATATAAAAAAAAAAATGTTGCAATTTTATTAATAACAAAATATGAAATGTTTATATAGTACATAATTAGGGATGCTAACGATCTGGATCGCGGTCCACCAGTCCAGTCCTAGGACTGGACTGATTAGAACCGATCGTCTTAATAGGATTATAGGACCGATCAAAAAAACTATCTTTTTGGTAAATTAGCAAGCTGATTAACAATTTATTGACTAATTTGTTAAAATATGATCGGTAAACTATTAACTGATTTGTCAACAACATAACAAAAACAAAAATGGCTATATAAATAAATAATTTTTTTTTGTTTACCTTTATAAGAACAAGAAAAAAATTTTTTTGTTTACAGTAAAATAAGCAAGAAATAATTTTTTTTTTTTTTGTTAAAGTAAGCAAATTAGTGAACGCTCTTACTGCTAATTGCAAAAATATTGGACCACCCAATATGAATTTTTTCATACGCATGTGGTCGTAATCGATTGGCAGCAATTCTGGCCAAATTTATAATTCTGGCCTGGATTAAAAATATTTCCTAATATGAAACCTATATATATATTGCCGGTGACTAAACTTTTATCCGATTTCACGTGACTTTATGAACAAATAATACATTACGCAAATTTCCATATTAGGAAATATTAATTCCGGCCGGAATTATAAATTTTCAGAATTTTTTTTATAGGACCGCAGTCCAGACTGCAGTCCTATAGGACTGATTAGTTGATCCCAGTCCTCATACCAACGAAGGACGGACTGAACTGGACCGGTAACATCCTAAGTACATTTCTATTTATTTATTTTTTGATAATTCTTAGATTCTATAAGAATGAATAGTAACGATACTTTAGAATGATTTGAAATAGTATTTAGCATTTTCTTCAATATATTTAATATCGTAAATTGGTTACGCGTAAATTTATTATCCTTTATTATAAGTTATTCACATCAATATTTTTGTTAATTTTTGATATAATACCGTATAGCACTGCCTTAAAATACCAGGAACTGGCGAAATAAATCACGTTAGAAGACAAGATTAAACTGGAAGAACTTCAAAATATCCCTTTGGCGAAACTTCCCTCATGCGAAATGACCTCGGCAAAATGTGTTTCGGCGAAATAGACTTCGGCGAAATGTACCGTAACCCCAGTAAGTATAACTACATTGTAATTGGTGCCGATCAGGGAATAAATTGTATTTCAGACAAAAAAGATTATCCAAAGTCATGCGCGAAGATCTGGTACAAAATCTCGAAACTTTAAATTTAAGGGTATCAGGACTTTTCACCGAAGTTTATTTCACCGAAATCCATTTCGCCGAAGCAATTTCGCCGAAGGAATGTTTCACCGAAGTGGCATTTCACTGAATGCCATTTCCCCGAATGGACCTTTTACCGAATGGCCATTTCGCCGAAGGACATTTCGCCGAAGGATATGAAATTTTTCAGTTTTCCTTTTCTTTTTTATAAGACAAACGAATTGTTTACACATTACAAGTTGCGTTTGTTTATTTTATTTTAATTACAGTAGAGGAAAATTAATTTTATTTAGTAATTTCATCTTACTCACCAATTTTACGAAACATTTGTATTGATTAATGAATTATGTTAATCACCAATATTTTCAGCGAAATGTCCTTCGACAAAGGGGAAAAGGATTCGTCGAAATGTCTATTCGACAAAACGCCCATTCGACGAAATATCACTTCGGCGAAACTTCCCTCATGCGAAATAATTTCGGCAAAATGGGTTTCGGCGAAACAGACTTCGGCAAAACGTACCGTAATCCCAGTAAGTATAACGATCAGGGAATAAATTGTATTTCTAAACAAAAAAGATTATCCAAATCATGCGCGAAGGATCTGGTACAAAATCTCGAAACTTTAAATCCCAATGTTACGCAGTACAAGAATGTGAAAACTTTTATCGTAATTGAGCAGTATTCGGCAGTGATCTATAATTAACGGTTAATTAACATTCACCCCAAAAATTACACATTTTAGTGTTAGAAACATTATTAACATAATTAAATTAGGTTCGATAAAAAACTTTTTTTTTTTTCTTTAATAAGTTTTTATGAATAGAAAGATGTGACACGTTGCGATAATTAATTTTGAAAAATTTTTATTTGAATCGTAACATGAAAATATAATATATTATAAAAGATTTGTTGAAAAAAAAAAATATTAAAAAAAATATTATCATAATAAAAATTATTAATAAATAAATAAATTAAAAGAATTTATAACATAACAAAAGACAAATTACAAAGATAAAAGAAACCATTTATTTTTGCGGATAATAAACTGTGCTATAATTTACTTCGCATGCCTGATGGCAATACGTATTCCCTCCAAAATGAGTGTCAAAAGTACAATGAGCAAATATATCCATTACAAGTGTGACTTGCCCTCCTGGAGGGGGAAACCTCGAAGCGTCAAAAATGTCAGTACGCGTGTAATCAATTTCTCCTTCATAATATTTGTCACAATCCACTGGTGCATAGTATGATAAGCAATCATTTGGATCTGCGGAATTATCCTCAAAGTAACCATTTACCCATTGACGGCCTTTCCAAACAGTAGCAATCGGGTCGCGTGGGTTATTTGTATAAAATTTATAATCACCAATGATCATTGGCCCCTGTTGCAAACAACAAGGCAAATAGTCAGGATCTGAAACTCTTTGCGGACCATGTACGGTTACTTCGATCTGATTACTTTGCGTAAATTTAACGTCTGTAATGTTAATATCTTTTTATTACGATAAAATAGCATTTAAGTAAAAAAAAAAATAGATGGTTATTAACAACGCTATCTTGTGCAAGAATAAAAATCGTTCTTAGATAGCTTACCTGTGCAATCATTAATATAACCCCAAGCAAAGGCATTGGAGAACGTATTGAGAAATACAATAATAAACACGATATATTTCATGATTGATGAATTGTTTGTATAATGGAATTAGAGGGAACTGTGGTTATATTTATATATCAGAAAAATTCAGATTTTAATTTTGTGCTAAATAAATTTGGGAATATTTTGATTTCATTTTGATATAATTTAATAACGTGTATTATTACACGCTCATTAGGATTGTGCGGAATTCATTGTACCGATATTTTTGTTATCATGCCCGATATTTTTAATGATCGACAATATAATTATATTAGCACACGCACTAATCCTAATATCACGTATAATAATATTGTTATTGAACGGGGCTATATCGGCCTTCGGCCGATATTTTGACGCCCCGTTCAATAACATACAATTATTAGACTTGCTAATCCTTCAAAGAGCCCTGTTTAGAAAGAACTGAAGAAAAATAAAAACAGAATGAATATGAGAATTTAGAGATGCACCTATACTAGCAATGTTTTATTAGTAGGAATATATCAGTTGTAATACTAATTAACATCTGAAAGGAAATTGGAAGTGTAGAAAATGCCGATCTTATATTACACGTGGTAGTGTATAACTAATAAAGTAACTAATATCATATTAAATTAAAAAAATAAAGTTTGAACATTATCCATTACACCATCTCAATTCATTTAAGGCAGCACACGCTTACATAGGTATGGTTTATCATTATCCTTTTTTTTTGTAATACCAATTTTTATATCACCCAATGGAAAAAGAATTAAAGAAGCCACCATATTTGATAGGAAAGTCCAGTAAAATTGGATCAAAAATTTTTAATATTTTTTTCTTTTTTTTTTTAATAATTTGTATATTTAAATATTTTTTTTCAAAAACTTAATAGTTAAAAAGTTTCAAATATATAATTACTAAAAAAATTAAAAAAAAATAAAAGATAAAATAAGTAAAGTTATTTCATTTTCAATGCTGTGCCGTGAAAATCATGCATGATATTCCAACAGTAACTCCGTAAAGAATCAAATACGATCATCTGATTTTAATAAAATTACATCATAGATATCCTTGTTAGTAAAAATTCAGTCATATTGGTATCACCATATCTTCTAATGGCATCTTACATATGGAAAGCCATCCTTGACAAAAGGTTGATGTCCAAACATCATGAAATATAATATTTAGACATCATGATGGTATGTCTAGACATCATGTTTGATATATGTAGGATGATGTTTGTACATTATTTAACATAATGTGAAAGACATCAACCGACATGATGTCTAGACATCATGCTGATCAAATTACCAAATATAGTATATTTATGAGTTACACAAAATAGAATTTACTATATTTGGTAACATGATGTCTAAGATATCATGTCGGTTGATGCTTGAGCATCATGTTGAATGATGTACAAACATTATTCTACATATATCAAACATGATGTCTAGACATTATCCAACATGATGTCTGGATATCAACCTTTTGTCAAGGACGGCTTTCCATACTTACAGAATTTAATTTCCATATATAATATTTACTGCATACTTATTATCACAGTATCAGAACATTTCGCTGAAGCCATTTCGCCGAAGGGACGTTTCGCCAAAAGGACATTTTGCCAAAAGGACGTTTCGCCGAATGGTTATTTCGCCGAATGAACATTTCACCGAAACCATTTCGCCGAATGGACGTTTGCCGAAATATTATTTATTATATTTGTTTATTTTGTTGTTTTTATACTAAATACATGAAGAATCATTTCTAGAAAAATTTTTGAATTAGCTAATTTTTATTAAATTTGTCTTGTTGCTTATAATATATTTATCTTTTACTGAATAAATGTTTTCAGGAAAATAAAGTTATTTATTTATTGCTTAACAATTAATATCAGTTACTTGAATGTTAAAGTGATAATATCATAGAAGAAAAGACACTTACAAATAATTTTTTTGTTCAAACATTTATTTAATTTTTATTTTTATTGCAAAAATAGGTGACGTGGCAAAAGAATGTAAAATAGAAACTAAAAAATGAAAATTTTATACATTTGTCATTTGTATATTCGAGTGTAAATCAGAATATCTATTAAGGTTCCTATTAAATAGATAAATAAAAAAATTTTATTTTCATTGCGCGATTAATATTTTTTTAAAGTGATAATCGCTATCATTTCTATCATTTTCGGCAAAATGGCTTCGGCGAAACGTCCCTTAGGCGAAATGGTTTCGGTAAAATGGGTTTCGGCGAAATGTACCGTAACCTATTATCGGTTACTATTATCACGCGATGTGGATGATGGGTTCCTTCCTCATAGTTTATAACTTGAATAAGTTTTATCAACCATTCATATTATTTAATGATTGAGTCTAAATTTCCTCCAGATTCGCCTTTCATAACACAATAAATTTAAAATCGTAAATTTATTTTAAGTTATTCACATCAATATTTTTGTTAGTATTTGATATAATACCGTATAGCACTGCCTTAAAATACCGGGAACTGGCGAAATAAATCGCATTGGAAGACAATATTAAACCGGGAAAACTTGTATTACCTAGAATCGATTCCAGGAATAGTAGGTGTAAGAATCTCAGCAAAAGAGGAATGATGATGTTAATAGAATTTGTTCTTTATGCCTACCAAAAAGACGAAAGTAGAAGAGCCAGAAAAGGAGGTTAAAGAAGGTAATAAACGGGTGGATACTAGTAGTCCTAAAAGTTATGAAGAAGAAAAGTAAAACAAATAAATTTTCTTAATTTTATTTTTTTGGTCGAGCATGTTTTTATTGTTTTTAAGTTAACTTTACTTATTCTAGCTAAAAAATCACAAAAGATATATTTGTTTCAAATAAAAAATCAAATGTATTTATTATATGGCCGATCCAGAAAGAACTTGAAAATTTTGATTGTCGGGATTGTCGGGATTGTCTGGTACAAGGTTACTCGAATGATATATAACACGTGACGTAAGTATAATATATTAATTAAAGTATACCCGTTTTATTTTCTTTTTGATATTTTGTATGATGTCAAAATCAATACTAAATAGTCAATTTGTTTATTAATAGTTGAAAGGATTTTGAAAGGCTTATCATATAGAGAAGTATACATTTTTTGACAAATATTTACATCATTTTGTTAGCAAAAACCCAGTCAACAAATTCCGAGTCCAACACAACTTTTTAGTTTGTGGCACCTTTTTGTGAACAAATTCTACTGAATAATTACGTTCAGCTTTTTCCTCTTTCATATTACTTCTCTTGCTTGACAAGTGCATTTTTGGCCATATGTATTTTAACAATCTAAACAAATAAGACAAATTGGACCGGCATTCAAACGAAATTCCAAAGAAAATGCCATTGTTCAATAAAAATCAAATAAAGTGATATTGTTGAAAAAAAGTTTATTTATTAATTTATGTTATATTGATATCGATATGTTCGCATTATATAGTATATACAATTATACTCTATTATACTTTATATGTCATGTGTTATGTCTAACCTGACAATCCCGACAATCCCGACAATCCCGACAATCCCGACAATCAAAATATTCAAGGGCGCACCGCCAATTACTGTAATCTGATCTCCCGAAGTCAATTTTCCGATTGGCCATTTCGACTAAATTTATTACAGCTAATTCAAAAGATCGGAAATTTTAAAGAACTCGGAAATATTCGGTAAAGCTTGATAACAAGTTACCCTTTTATTGTTTGTTTTCTAAAAAAAATTGTTTAGGCTAGACAATTCCATAATCATTACAAGATAGTTCAATAAAATATTCCAATTCTGAATTGACTTGCAAATTTCTGTTAAATCCAGTTAAAATATTACTATATATAATAGTATGAAAACTAAGAAATTCAATTTTTGAAAATAAACGCAATTGATGCCTGAATTCGTAGTCGCTTTTTCACTTCGCCCAAGGCTTTTCATTTGGTCAACTTTCTATTGATACTTTTGGTATCAAGCTAAAAAAGAAGATCAGATGAGAAAGCATCTTTATTCAGATAAAATGAAATGTACAGTAAATAGATTAATATGGCTCCAGGATCAACAGACCTTTATTAAAGTTGTGCCGGTGAATTATATCTATTTCGTGATGCAAATCGAGACGAACACTTCAGGGGGTACAAGAATCTGATAAAAAATAACCATTGTAGATACACTGATCCAGACAAACGCTTCAAAGGTTGCATGGAACATTTGGAACACTCATAGAACATTAACATTCTGACTAATCTTCTTATTTTCCAGCAGAAGCTTTACAGTGCGGTTACGGGCTTCCTGCGAGTAGTAGCTTAGATCTTAATTTAATTTCGCGCAAAACACTATAGAAGGTATGATTTACTTTACGCTCATTCATATCAATGTTATTTAATGAATGAAAAAAAAAATTAATTATACAATACATTAGTCAGGATAAATGTACTATATACATCTCTGTAATAATACTGTAATTATGGGGAAATTTTGACTATAGATTTTCTTTCTGGAACTTAAAAAAAAAAAAAATACTTTTTTAGCGCCGATACTTCAACTTTGACTAAAATTTATAACCTCGAAAAATTTATTAACTCTGAAAAGGGAAAATAAATAAAATATGGAATTTCTCTAATATGTCTGATGATAACCTTACGGAATTATAAAGCTTTGATATTATTTTCCTTAAGTCAAGACGCACACTATCAAGTTAGACGCATACAACAATTTGAATGGAAGAAAAGTCTGTAATTGTCACTCGGAACGTTATTATTTGACATATTGTAAATTGATTTTTGTTTCAAATAACCTGACTTAAGTAATGGCTAAGGTAATAATAATTTATATCCTTATAACCGATGTTCTAAAGGATCATGTATAAGATTTTTTATAGTATTTTAAATTCCTGCTGATATGTCTATAAAATATAATTGTCGATTTGCATATAAAGGTTTCAAACTAAAAGTGCGATCAATAATTACAATAGTGATAATTTCTGTAATAAATAAAAATGAAGTAAACAATATATCTTTTAAATAATGAATAAAAATCTTGCTTATAAAATATTTTATTTTGATAACTTATTTTTAATAATAAATAGTCGAAGACCGATATCTCATCCAATAACTGAGTTATACTAGTTCGATCATGCGGTGATCAATAGGAATTAATGCTGCTAATACTAATTTCAATATTGGATGTCTAATAAATATATTGGTCATTAAAATCCCGTATATTCCTCCTAATCGACTGAACAATCAATAACTTCAGTTATTTTTTAATTACTTGAAATACTTCATAATCTTCTACTTCAAAATTTACTGGAATTCCTATGTTGGGGTAACGATCTCCATCAATGTAAATTTCACAAGACCAAATATTTTTATAGCAATATAAATTACCCATAGTTGGTCCAAAATCATTATGACAAAAAACAGCATATTCTGTCTTATCAACATAACTTACTTTCGTTGCAGAAATATTTTTTTTATCTGTAATTGTAGAATTAAATATAAAACTATCTGCTGTAGTTTTCCAATCAAATCCATTCCAGTCAAGTGGATTATACCCTCCAATTAATTGTGTCGAATCTTTAATTTTAGCTATATAAATAGTAGCTCCTTTATCATCACAATTTCTGTGAAAAGAACCAGGATCAATTCCATCCCGACTTGAACGATATAATAAATTAAAATTATAGGGACTATCTTTTTTATTATAATGTGAAGAATCTTTTTTATCAATCCATGAAGCAAAAACAGGAATACAGTCTGATCCAGTCAAGGATGAATCAAGTTTTTTAAAATATGTTCTTCTTGAAGGTGGTAAATTATCTTTAGGTTTCACATTAGGTACTATATGAAATTCCAAAAGATCATTAATTAAATCTTTTGGTAAGATATCTTTATCGTTATAACAATAAACCTTATAAAAAAAATCTGCAGGTTCAATATTATAAAACCGAATTAAAGGAATAAATTTATTCAATTCATTTTTAATCTTTGTAATATCTTCTTTATTCCATTTTGTTTGGTCATTCTCAATATTTTGTTGAGCAAAACACCACTTCAATAAATTTTCCCATATTTCAATTTCTTCCACATTCAAATCATCTCTTTTTAACAATAATTCTAAAAATGGAGATTTTAAAGTAATAAATTTATCAGAGTTGAATAAAATCTTTGGTTCTTCACAAATTTTTTCAAGACAAAAATTCCATAAATTTGTAAATGCTTCATGTTGATAAACGGTTTCAAGAATTTCAGTAGGATTTTGATGCAAAAATTCAGTTTGATTATCAATCAAAAATTCTTGAATATGTGAAATCAATGAATTGATATTGAGCTCATCAACTGCTATTAATAATTTCAATACGTCGGAACCCTGTAATTTCTCTAATTCAATATTTCCACAATAAATAAACCTAAATATAAATAATAATAATTAGAAATATTTTATTTTATCAAATAAAAAAAAATTATTATATATTACCTAAGAATGATATTAAATAATTGTGGTGAAATATTCTGTTTCCTGAATATAAATTTTCCATCTTTTTTTTCAGCCCATTCGTTGGAAAATGCAGAACGAAAATATTGAGACCTAATGCACAAAATATTTGAATGAGCATGAATTTCTTTGACATTTGGTTCTTCTCCAGCATAAATAATAACGTCATATCCAATTTCTGTTTCGAAAAGTTTTTCGTAATCGTTCGATAACTCCGCCCAAAATTTTGAAGACATTGTTTAAGAAAGAAAGAAATATTTTAAAGTTTGGATACGAATCCTTATTTATATTATTTTATGATGATCCGACTAACCCTGTGTTCATTAATTTCTATAACCGGACATTTTAGTAAATTTATTTGTCAATCCGGTCCGGTTGCAAGAAATTTAAGAAATATTATTAGTCTTACTATTTTTGTGGTTGATAATAAAATAAAAGAGAAAACTTCTCGAGAATATACATTATGCCCTTTTTCATATTATGGCGGGCTTCAAGATGGAATGAGACGCTAAGCCTATTTATATTACTGAATAAAAAACAAAGAATTGCTAATGTCAGAGCGTCCAGAAGTATGCAATAAAAAGTTTATAATAAATTCATCAAAAAAAATCATGTTTCTGAAAGTTTGGTACCCATAAATTCTTTCTTTCCTTTCAGAAGATAGTTTTAAATTTTTTTCATTTTCATATCGATTCTCTGTTAAATTTTCTGGCTTGATCGTGTAAACTTATTTGACTTTTCTTAAAACGGTTTTGTGTGTATTAATGTTATTACTGTACAGTATACAAATTGGCAAGTTCGCCCAAAAATTTCTTAACATAATGCTTTGCCTTTTTGGCGATTTTGGACACGAATTTCGCAATTAAAATTGGATTTTTTTGACATTTCCAATTTTTAATATATGAAAATAGAATGTTTTAACGATAACGCTAAAAGTGAAGCGAATGAATTTATGTTATATTAATTATACGTATAATTCTTTAAAGAAATTACTACAATATCCTCACATGGAAAATTTATTAAAAAAGTCAAAGCAACAGTAGATAGCATATCGTTATTGACAAACTATCCAACACATGCATGTTTATTTTTTATTAATATATATATACATGACATTATTATTCCTTTTCAATCAAACATGTAACTATGAAAACGAATCTTGCTTACAGGAAGATATATAATACACGTTCTTTTACACACATATACTAATCAGTAATAATACTAACACATGAGACGGAATTTCTTTATTTACTTAACAATATAATTTCATATAATATATAATATATATAGGAAAAAATGTAAAATATGTAAAATATGTAATATATGTAATATGTAATAATATAATAGTTACGTCACATTTTGTGGCACGTATAATGTGGCACAGTAATTTCGTAGTGTCGTACAACAACCTCATCTAGTTAAATAGAATTCATTAGTATTTGATTAAAATATACAAGAAAAAAATATATATATATAAAACTTACCAGTTCTTTTTCGATAAATTTAATTCTTTTGTAATGTATTTAATTCTATGTGATGCATAAACAGTTCCGCTATTTTTTTGGTAAAGTTCATACCATTTTAAAGCTTTCTTTTGATTTATTTGGGTACCTATACCATTTTGATAACACCTAGCTAATTCATATTGAGACATTACATATCCATTTTCAGCTGATTTTTTATATAATTCGAATGTCTTAAGGCGATCCTTTGGTACACCAATAGCGTGCTTATAACAAAATGCAAGTGAATCCAAAGCTATATTTAATCCTTTATTAGCGCCTTGTTCGTAAAATGTACACGCCTTTTCATCATTGTCTTCAGTACCGCATGCATAAAAATAGCAATATCCAACTTCATAGTGACCATTTATATCATCATTTTTACTTGCTTTCATAAACCATTTAAAAGCCACGCCTTCATTTTTAATCGTTCCAAAACCTTCTTTATGAAATTTACCAACCATTACTTCATAATGCTTTGTACTTGTATTCTTAATAAGATACTTGAAGATTTCTCGTGATTTTGATTTGTATTTTTCCAAAATTGTATCAAAATTAAATGATTTTGTCTTTCCAATTTTGTTTCTTTCCAAATAAGCTTGGATAATTTCACTCAAAATATTACTTAATTCATTTTTATTCTTATCTAATATTAAAATATTTTAAATATTTTAAAATTAATAATAATAAATATTAAACATAATAATAGGAAATAAGTTCAACTCACCAATATTATCATTTTTTGTTTTTGATATTTGTAATTTTGAATCGTTTTGATTAATTGAGTCAGAATTTGTTTCATTATTAATATCTAATTTATCCAAATCTTCAGTAATTTTAGAACCGTTTTCATTATTGGCATTTATTTGTTGAGAAATTTTTTGTAACGTATCAAAAACTTCTTCAATAGTTGGTCTTAAACTTGGATTATCGTCCCAACATTTCTCATAAAGTTCCACGTAAGCTGAAGGCGTATCAGTTATTGGCTGTTCTCTAAAGCCGGTATTAATTTTATAAACTAAATTATGGATTGGAATTTTTGAATAGGGAGGATATCCACTTGATATTTCCCATAAAAGAACACCCAAACTATAAATATCTGACTTTTTATCTCTAACATAATCGACAACCTTATGGCATTGTGGTTCAACGTATCCTAGCATTTCATGTATTCCTGAATTTGATTCAACTCCAGCTAATTGTTTAAATAACGCTAAGTCTGCGATCATTAGCTTATTACTGTGGACTAGTATGTTTTTTGCATGCTATATTAATAAAACAAAATAAAATTAGACGTGTGAATTAAATTGAAAGGAAAATTTGATGAAAAAATATAATGTTACCAAATTTCTGTGAATAATTTTTCTGGAGTGTAGACATTTCAATCCACGTGTAATATCCAGAGCCATCTTGATTTTATCACTCCATTGAAGTGAATCAAAATTTTTTTTTAAATAATCTCTTAAGTTTCCCTGATTAACGTATTGTAATACCATCATATAAGTATTTGTTGATGGTTCTATATATATATTTATATTAATTATGATTATTAATTATGAAATTTTGTAAAATATAATTAAATATATTAACCTTTAGTAATTCCATAAAGCCGATTTATGTTTGAATGAAAACTAGCTCTTCTTAAATTTTTGAACTGGAAATAAATGATAAATACATTAATAGATCATATTTTTAAATCAAATATATTATTTTAATATTACCTCTTTAATAAATTTATTCATGTCATTTTCATTTATTGAAGGATTATTTCCAAGAATTTTTAACGCTACGCTAATACCATTTTTCCAATCAGCTTTACTTATCGTTGCAAATGTTCCTTTCTCAACTATTTCCACATTAGTGAATTTATTATACTTAAAAAAATACAAGTTATCATCTTTTATTTTCTTATCGGTCCACTCATTAAATGACTGCATATTCGAATATGCACGAAAAAAAAAAAGTTTTTGATTACGTTGGTAAAATCGGTAAACCGTAAAATATATATATATATATATTAATCGAAATAAATTTTATAAAATAAATAGAAGAAATTATTTTATTCAATGATATGGGTTTAAGATTTTTTTTTTTTTAAAACGCGATTTTTTTTTGCAAAAAACAGAACTATCTCCAGTTATATATAAAAAGAATGATTATTAACATACGAGTTGCACAAAGTTTCATTTAATTTATTTTTAATTTGCCGATCATTTCAAATCTCAAACTACGAAATTCCGAAACCGTTTTTTGTAACATAATATGCAACTTAAAACTATTTCATCCCTAAATTAAGTTAATCTCATTTTTTTCGAAACAAATTAAAATTAATCCTTATTCTTTTCATCTATAAATTTATAGCCTATAAAATTTTATAGACAAAGGATATTTAAATTCGGATTTGTTTGTAAAAATCGGTAATAATAAAATGGTTAAATAATAAGCCGGATTATCAAACGAATATATATTCATTAAATCCTTATTCAAAAATTTAAATTTCTATAAATAATATAAATAATATGAAATAAGAAAAAAGTAAAATAAAGAAAAATTATTTTTTTTTTTTTTACTAATTTAGGACTGGGTTTTAAACATACAAAAATTTTACTCCTTTTAAGTTTAGAGTTTGTAACGGTAAAACTTCAAATTTTTTTTTTCTTTTTATTGTTTCTATTCAACTTTATTTGCAATATTTATATATACTTAAAATAAAATTTCTATTTAGTCAAAATTTTACGTCTTGATATATTATAAAAAATTGATGTTCGTATAGTGACTCACTAAGACCGGGAAGACGGGTTTGTAAAATCGTACTAACCAAAAATAGATGTCAAACTAACAATTATGAATACACATGACATGGTAATTAGTAACCAGTAAGTGTTTTTACTGCCATTTGAAAATCCTTGTATTTGTCCAATAATAATTTTTTGTACCGAATTTGTTAAATCCGGATTCTCAGATAACCGGATTTAAATAAATCAATGTGATCAACTAAAATATTGTTGTTGCAAATCGACCAATTATAGACAAATTTCTTATATAATCTAATGAGTAACACGTTTCACTGTAACGAACAAGGCAATTCATACAATTCATAAATAGTAATAGGAATTAAGGAAAATAACGTCATCCTTCTTAGGGCCACCAATCAGATGCTGACCATCCACCTCCAACTTAGAATGAGTATGAAGATATGTAAGAGAAGATTTAACGGTCAACTCTCATTATAATTTAATGCCGTTAAATTATAATGATTCGGTATCCTGAGATGACCCGCGTGTTATCAGAAAGGAACAGGTCTCTTACCTTGTTTTATTTTCACCTTTATGTTCGTCATTCAATCATAAAGCACGGTATATATGTACTATGCTTATCTACGAGGTAATATTACGTACATTAAAAAATCATTTCTATAAGTATTATAACAAATAACTATAACTTCGTTTGAAAAGGAACTTCAGAAATATACTTTAATTTTGAATTATTATACATACTTGTCAGAAACCTCTCATTTCAATTTCTTTATAAATACGTTCGAAATAACTTTGTATGTTATTATGATCTTGTAAAGTAATCAACATAATGCAAGAGAAGTAAAGGAATTGAATTTTTTAAGATAGGATAAGGAAATTAGTGCAAGAGAAAAGGATAAGTGTGTATGAATAATCTTTTAAGAAAGTACGAAAAAGAAGTTCTTATATACATTGCACAAGTTTTTACTTATAGTCTGTAATGATTCACTAGTCATAAATGGAAACTAATCTAGGACTCCTTCCTTTGAGGACTTTACAATTTTCCAGCTTAATTATTGGATTTAAATGCTTTTTTCTGCCTCGTGTACACGTGGTATTCTAGCGTATGCGTGATCACATGATCAACACAATAGAAAATGCTAAAATGGTCAATATAAGTTTATTGTTTTACAAACAAAAATTTAAATACAAAATGACACGCACTAGTAGAAGAACGTCAGACTTCTCTTGTTCATAAAAGTTCGTCTCTTTCGGATAAAGGTATAATAATATACTGACCAAGATATCGCTGGAAATCACACAGTGATAGTTAAACCTCTCAACGCTCTCAACGCACTGTTAAAAGTCATAAAAACAAAAACAACCAACGTAGCATAGGATGATGATATGACGGTAACTAATAAAGACTAAATCTTTGAAGAAGTTGCTGAACCACTTAAACAAACGCAATACTCCACTTCTCAATATAAACATACCTCAACAGGCCTTTATCCATTGTCCAGACTCTACTCTGGGACATGATAACTATTCCATCTTCATCATGTGATCATACTAAACAAAGATAACACACAATCTAATAAAAATCGCAAAATAAGAATAATAAGATTTACTATGTATAATAATTTTATAGATCAATAAGGCTAAAACCACAGATTGTTTCAAATTCGAAACTAATTTAAAATTATTTTTATCTCGAACATTATAAATACATTTCAAAATTGGCTTTATCCCTCAAAAAAAAAAATTTATGATTGATGATCAAACAATTTTGTAAGGTAACAATTTAACGAAAATGACCTGGTAATCTACACGTTTTTTATAACGTTTTTAATTCGTTCACGTTACAAAATTTTGGAAACTTACCCTAAAGTAAAGCCTGCAAACGGGACCCGGAACCCGGAAACCCGGACCGATCCGGGTTTGAAAATTCATCCGGGCCGGGTCCGGGCCGGCACATGATTTTTTCCGTAAACCCGGATTTTTGTAATTCTGGCCAAAATCGTCTTAATTCCGGCAGAAATTAAACTGGCCAAAATTAAGTTGGCCAATTTTTTGTTTTTACAACAAATTGATATATTAATTGTCCGGGCCGGGCAGGGAATGCAATTAAAAATTAGAAATACTTTCAGCTATTATCCTTCTTTTGGTATATTAATAAAGTATATTCGATACCTATTATAAACAAAGAAACTGATAGAAACGCTATCGTTAATATCAAAAAATGGAAATTTGAGTGATATTTTTTACAACTACTACAAACCTGACAATCAACAAAATTTTAAAAAGAGATTCTAGAAGATAAAAAAATAGAACTATTTAAGTATCTAATGTACCAATTGTACCACCTTATAAAGAGGTAATATTTTGACCTATAGCAAAATAGAAAAATACATCCCTCTTAACAAACAAGATCCAACAATTATTTTAGTTATTACCAAACCGAATTCGTCTCTCAAGAATCAGTCAAAAAATTTTACGAATAATATTTTACATGGAGTATTCTTATTGAAAATTTCAGCACAATCAACAACACGCGATCTAACACCTATACTCTCAAAAATCAAACTTGTAACCATTTCTATATTATGTTCGATTGGACATGATTTCAATTATATAAACCATGTGACCGCTCTCTTCCTTAACAGCCCTTTCAAATTCGATTCTAATAGACATCAATGCTTCAGACATTTAATTAATAACAACAACAAATACTCTTATTTTTCCAAATAACGGCAACCAACTAACAACAATCTCATCACTCTTAAACGATAATACAACGAAAATTCCTTCACCTTCAATCAAATTCCCTTCCTTATTAGCTGTTCATGTTTGCAGGAGAAAATATTTCATTATGAAAATGTATTCATTATTTGTTTGTCAGATTAAAAAGTTATTTTAATTACGTATAGAACATAATCAACTGCATACAATACTTTGTCACGTAACCAGCATCTGCAAAGAACAATAGGATTTTTGAAAATGAATTTATTAATAATGATAATGTAATTCTATAATAAAATAAAATATGAATCGTAATAAGATATTATAATTAATAAATTAATTTCAATAGTATTGCGTACACATGTGAAAAGTGAAAAGAAATGTATCGCATGATTTTTAAAACGAATTTCTAAAATTCAAATGACAATTATTAAAAAATATAATTCTTATTATTTCCATAAAAAGTTGGTCATTTAAAGGTTCAGGAAATTCATTTTTTTTTTTTAAAAAAAAATGATTTATAATAAGATAGTTCCAACTGCGTAATACCATAGCAAGCTACGAAAAAAATTATCGTTTAGAAATTTTGAAATTTTCACTTTTAGTATATTATTTTTTTTTTTCATAAAACTTTTCAAAATTTTTATTAATTTAAATTTTTCTGTAATTAAATTATTCCACTGTTACAATTAAAAATTCTTTTTCTTAAAATTATTCTAATTATTACGGTTTCTTTAATATCTATTAAGATTGAACTTTATTTTCTTATGGAGAAAAGTGAAGCTGTGTTTACTTTAATCATCTGGAACGACGTGAAGGATACAGTTTCTATACATGATTTAGGTTTACTAATATATAAATGTTCAAGAATACAATATCTAGACGTGGTTCAACCAAACGCCAATTCATCCTTCCACGAAAGAAATTTTGGTCATCTGGTCATGCAGTGCAACAAATGATTATATTCTTTATATTTCTCATATTCTTTATAAAAATTATATTTTGTTTTTTCTTTTGCATTTTATATTTCCTAAATTTATTATATGATTAGATAGAAATTGTTATATATAGTATCTCTGCATTTTTCTCATTAAAAAGTATGAATTGGAAATTAATAAGTTAACTTTAACATAAAAATGAACTCCCTTATTTACAATGTGTTTGATTGATCATAGCTACTGTCTCTGATAACAAATCATAGTAAAATTGTTAGACATACTGAGAAAAATTAAACAATGTATATTTATGTATTAATACCATATAATTATATTTTATTAATGTATTATAATTATTTATTCATAAATTTGGTTTTTTACAATTTGTTTTTGTATGATAAATCATTCTTTTAAACTTTATGCCCAATGGAGATTCAATTCAGTAGCCATTGATTTATTATAATTAGAGCATTGAACTATTACCAAAACTTTATTCTGCTATGCAACCATAAGGGAATTCTATGCTAGAAAGATCTAATCTGATAATTTATAGAGTGTTACTCTTTACCTTTACAAATTATAGGTATTATTCTTTTTTTCATTTTGATTCGATTTCTTTCGTATTAATAAGTCCTTCAGTATATCTTGTTTGCAAAAATAAGAAGATTAACAACGTATTATTAATAAGTAGTGATTTTAAAAAATGATATCTAAATAAATATTGCAATAAATTAATTAATATTATTAATTAAATTTTTAGATTTGCAACAAGCATAATGTTTACCCAATTAAACCTTTAATTACCCTTCGTACTTAAGCATTTAACATTTTTAAACATCATTTAATCGTCCCTCTCAATTACCCTACTCACCTCACTATTAATTTAGATAATGAATCAGATAGCTCACATACGATGAACATTTCAAACATTAATTTAGATCCTTCACCATTTTATATTTCTGATATATTATTATGCAATACAGACACTATTAATTCACTTTTAACGTTAGCTAAAAATTTTATTTTAAAAAACCTTTTTCTTTTTGTACAGATGGCCCCTTACCAGAAAACAAGATAACCAAACAACACACAAATGGGTTTCGCGTCGCGTGGGTCGAAAAATGACGCTCGCCACCTATAACATTTTACGGCTCTACTGCCTTTAATTTTAATCCCTCGTCTACAAAAGCCTAAATTTATGCGGTCCTAATGGCATTAATAGTTTGTCCTAACAATTCTATTATCAAAATTCACACGGATTCCCAGAACGACATCGACATTTATTACAAGATTTCCCACAAACTGTTGTCTACCAGACGCTTATTGACCTTAAATTCCTGACCATTAATATGGTCAAATCAAAGCTCACTCTGGCAACCAATATAACGACCTCAGTGATGAACTCGCTAATCTGGCTCGACCACTTTCACATATAGAAATCAATCCTACGCACATACCTGGCACGCTAATGACACCAATAGATCGTGATATCAGAATTTGCTCAAACTTTACGGAAAGCTACACCTTGGATAATTTTCTAGGCAATAGACCACTTCAACAAACTCCACTCACCAAGGACTGGCTGGACTGGCTGCACCTGAACAACACTGATGATATATGTAGTGAACGTAAATAAATCTGCTTATGACTCTTTTAAAATCAAAAGCTTTAATCACATCTTCCCGTGTGGAGACATTTTATTGAAACACTACCTGAAATTATACCCGGCTAACGGCATATTTGCTTAACTCACCCGGATACTAATGAACAACTGGGTTTCTGTCATAACCTTCGATCTTTCATTAATACTACCCAGTCTACCCTACAATCACACACTATAGTATTAATTGATCTTTTGTCAGCAAATACGTCCAACCACAGGCTCATCAAATTCATACTGGATAGCGTTAAAAAATCAAGCCTTTTTCTTTCAGTCAATGACAACACTCATGATATATATCTAATTCTTCACCAATTAATACCTTAAAATCTCGTGGAGTTAATTTAATCATTCACGAACAAACAAGTTCTTACGCGGCAAGTCCTTTTTGATTTGTTTTCTTCGATACAACAAACCTTATACCAAACGATTTGGTCAAAACATAATGTTAATTTACACACTTGGGAAAATCCCTAAATATCAACTGTAAAAAGAAACGTCAGTACAAACAATCGTAAGAAGACTTCTAATAACACCGTTCACCACTCCAATAAATCGACACATCGGTTTACAAATAATACACAGCCGATCATCTCAACGTCCCCGGTTCACCCTTTTCATATCAGATATGATGACCACCTATAAATAGCTCTTCTGGCCACGCGCCGATCCCAATGTGGTTGATCCTAGCCACCTCAAATTATATTCATTCTGGTGGGTGGACCTCTTTTCTTTATTTTACTTCTCACATAGATTTTATTAATAATAATAGTTATTTTTTCTTTTTTTTCTTTTTTTTTCTTATTTTTTTTTTATTTCTTCTTCTGCTTCCTGTTTTTCGTACAATGCAGTTAATTCCTAGTAGTACTTTTGTTTTATAAATAATAGGCACGCGAGGGTTGGGATTATGTAATTTCATTTGTAAAAGCTCGGCTCCAATACTTGTATGGCTCCCGTCATTGTCATAATTTTTAAAATAAGGCAATGGTATCTAACATATTTTTGCTCTATAATAATACATATTAAACAAATATGGTACGGTAAGTACTTTTTTTGAAATTGATCAACCGTACCGTCAGTACTGGTTTTCAAATAATTTATATCGCACCGAATCCAACATATATTAAAAATCATTCCAAAAAATATTGTATAATAGATAATTTCATTTATTAATTCAGGTAAATATCATAAAAAGAACATGTCATATTTAAATGTATACAATTAGAGAAAAAAGTAAAAAAATGTCATTCTGTTGCTATTATAATTTATAAAGATTATATAATATTACTCAAAGGCAACAACACTAATAACGAATTTCTAAAGATATCATACTTAGTTAATTTGCTAAACACATTGCAAATGAAAATGAAAATATAAATAGAATGATTAATATAATATGATCAGCGCTTAACATAATAGAAGTTAAGCCAATCAAATATGTCATATATTGATGAATCATCCAATTAAATTTTTAAATTCTTCACTATAATCTTATAGTAAACTTGAGATGGAAATCAGAGCTCAATAATTAATATATTTGTATATAATAATATAGTTCTTTTTACTCTATTATAGCAACTGTAAAAAGTATACAATATAAACAGAATATTTTTCATATAATAACTAATAAATATCCAACAAATAAAGAATACTAAATAGCAGAATTACTAATCTTAAATTATAAATTCATCAAAACACTGAGTTTCTTCTGATTCTTCTTGAATTAAAATTTTAGTAAGCTTGCGACTTGTATAATATGCTTGTGGATGAGATTGTATAATTGAAATATTTTCTTGTTCTTGTACCAAAGTTTCTTTTGCTTTTACAAATTCCAATATATTACTTTTTAACTGATTATCAACATTAGGTACGTCAAGGGTATTATTTCCATCAATATTTATAATAAAATATTTATCAATACATCTATTCCATTCAGATATAATATTTTCAAGTATTATTATGGATGGTCTATTTAATGGATTTGAATCCCAACATTTTTCCATTAAATCTATATAACATTTTGGAGTATTTTTTATAATTTCAGGACGGTTTCCATTACAAATATCTAAGATGAGGTTATGATCATGTGCTTCATGATTAAATGGAGGAATACCTGAAGTAAATTCCCACATTATCATTGCAAAACTATAAATATCACTTGCTGGAGTATAGGGGTTTTTTCTTAATATTTCAGGTGCCATATAAGGCAAAACTCCATAAATTTCATCATTTCCAGAATCTTGTAAATCATCTATAGGTTTACATAATCCTAAATCAATGATAAATACTTCATTGTGATCATCTGATATTAAAATATTACCATCATGAAAATCACGATGAGTTAAATTTGATTCATGAATTACTTTAAGTCCTAATATAATTTTTTCCAATAACTGTAATTTGTCTTGCCACTTCAATTTAACTATATCAGGTAAACATTTTCTTAAACTTCCTTTTTTTGCACAACTCATTACTATTATATAATTTAAATTATTTGGATCTTGGGTAAATCCAAAGAATTGAACAAATTTTGAAAATGAATTTTTCTGGCAGTTATAATGATATTTCCACTATATAAACAATAAAAGATTATTAAACTTTGCATATTGAAATAAAATCAGCTATTAAATATAAATACATACCTCATTAAGAAATTTATTATTTAAACTTGATGAATTATTAAGTATTTTAAGCACAACCTCATAATCTGTTTGTCTATCCCATTGTTGTTTGTCAAGATTCCAACTATAAATAGGTCCATCAGACCAGACAGCTTTATGAATTTCACTAAATCCTCCCTTATCATAATAATTAACATTTGATAACTTATTATAAGGTATCCATTCTAAAACTTCATAACCAGTTTTAGCATATAGTTGTGCATTTTGGATAAATTTATCAATAAATTCATTTTTACTAGTCCATTTTGAAAAATCTCGTTGAAATCTTACGGGATTACATTGTTGACACCACTGGTGATCACCAATAAATAGTTCTAGGCATTCAATACAAAATTGACATGTATATTTAAAATTTGCTTTATCACTTTCTGCTACTTTTTGACGCCAATAAAATGATTTTTCTAAATTCTTTTCTGTCCCTTCTCCATTTTTATAACATATGGCTAAATTAAACATTGCTTTTTCATCACCATATTCTGCTGCTTTTTGATACCAATAAAAGGCTTTTTCTAAATTCTTTTCTGTTCCTTTTCCATTTTGATAACATATAGCTAAATTAACCATCGTTTTTACATCATACCCATTCTCTGCTGCTTTTTGATACCAATAAAAGGCTTTTTCTAAATTCTTTTCTGTTCCTTCTCCATTATTATAAGATAAGGCTAAATTAAATAATGCTTTTTCATCTCCATTTTCTGCTGCTTTTTGATTCCAATAAAAGGATTTTTCTAAATCCTTTTCTGTTCCTTTCCCATCATGATAACATGCAGCTAAATCAATCATTGCTTCTTTTAAACCATTTTCTACTGCTTTTTGATACCAATAAAATGCTTTTTCTAAATTCTTTTCTGTTCCTTCTCCTTTTTCATAATTTATAGCTAAATCATACATTGCTTTAATATAATTATTTTCTACTGCTTTTTGATACCAGAAAAAAGCTTTTTCTAAATTCTTTTCTGTTCCTTCTCCATTTTTATAATATACGGCTAAATCATACATTGCTTTTTCATTACCATTTTCTGCTGCTACTTTTTGGGTCCAATAAAATGCTTTTTCAAAATCCATTTCTGTTCCTTCTCCATTTTTATAACACACAGCCAAATTATACATTGCTTGTACATCCCCATTTTCAGCAGCCTTTTGAAACCAGTAAAATGCTTTTTCTAAATTCTTTTCTGTTACTTCTCCTATTACATAAAATATGCCTAAATTATACATTGCTCCTTTATCACCATTTTCAGCTGCTCTTTGATTCCAATAAAATGCTTTTTCTAAATTCTTTTCTGTTCCTTCTCCATTTAAATAACATTTTCCTAAATTATACATTGCTTCCTTAACATCATTTTCTGCTGCTTTTTGATACCAATAAAAGGCTTTTTCTAAATTCTTTTCTGTTCCTTCTCCATTTAAAGAACATAAAGCTAAATCAAATAATGCTTCTTTAACACTATTTTCTGCTGCTTGCTGATACCAATAAAAGGATTTTTCTAAATTCCTTTTTACTCCTTTTCCATTTTGATAACATATGGCTAAATTATACATTGCTTTTTCATAACCATTTTCGGCTGCTTTTTGAAACCAATAAAAGGCTTTTTCTAAATTCTCTTCTGTTTCTTCTTTACTTATATAAAATATAGCTAACTCATACATTGCTTCTTTAATACCATTTTCAGCTGCTTTTTGATACCAATAAAAGGTTTTTTCTAAATTCTTTTTTGTTCCTTCTCCATTTTGATAGCATATGGCTGAATAAAACATTGCTTCTTTAATACCATTTTCAGCTGCTTTTTGACACCAATAAAAAGCTTTTTCTAAATTCTTTTCTGTTCCTTCTCCATTTTGATAACATATGGCTAAATTATACATTGCTTTCTCATGGCCATTTTCAGCTCCTTTATGATACCAATAAAAGGATTTTTCTAAATTCTTCTCTGTTCCTTTTCCATTTTGATAACATATGGCTAAACAAAACATTGCTTCTTTAATACCATTTTCTACTGCTTTTTGATACCAATAAAATGCTTTTTCTAAATTCTTTTCTGTTCCTTCTCCAATTTGATAGCATATGGCTAAATTAAACATTGCTTTTTCATGGCCATTTTCAGCTGCTTTTTGAAACCAATGAAATGCTTTTTCTAAATTCTTTTCTGTTCCCTTTCCACTTTCATAATATATAGCTAAATTATACATCGCATTTTCATGATCATTTTCAGCTGCTTTTTGATACCAATAAAATGCTTTTTCTAAATTCTTTTCTGTTCCTTTTCCACTTTTATAATATATGGCTAAATTATACATTGCTTCTTTAATACCATTTTCAGCTGCTTTTTGATACCAATAAAAAGCTTTTTCTAAATTCTTTTCTGTTCCTTCTCCATTTTGATAACATATGGCTAAATTATACATTGCTTTCTCATGGCCATTTTCAGCTGCCTTTTGAAACCAATAAAATTCTTTTTCTAAATTCTTTTCTGTTCCTTCGCCATTTTTATAATATATGGCTAAATTATACATTGCTTCTTCAATACCATTTTCAGCTGCTTTTTGATACCAATAAAAGGATTTTTCTAAATTCTTTTCTGTTCCTTCTCCATTTTGGTAACATATGGCTAAATTATATATTGTTTCTTCAATACCATTTTCTGTTGCTTTTTGATACCAATAAAAGGCTTTTTCCAAATTCTTTTCTGCTCCTACTCCATATTTATAACTCATAGCTAAATTATGCATTGCTTCCTTAACACCACTTTCTGCTGCTTTTTGATACCAATAAAAGGATTTTTCTAAATTCTTTTCTGTTCCTTCTCCATTATAATATAATAAAGCTAAATAAAACTTTGCTTCTTTAATACCATTTTCTTCCGCTTTTTGATACCAATAAAAAGCTTTTTCTAAATTCTTTTCTGTTCCTTCTCCTTTATGATAACATATGGCTAAATTATACATTGCTTCTTCATAGCCATTTTCTGTTGCTTTTTGATACCAATAAAAGGCTTTTTCTAAATTCTTTTCCGCTCCTACTCCATTTTTATAGCTTATAGCTAAATAATACATTGCTTTTTCATAACCATTTACTGCTGCTTTTTGACCCCAATAAAATGCTTTTTCTAAATTATTTTCTGTTCCTTCTCCAATTAAATAGCATTTTCCTAAATTATACATCGCTTCTTTGACGCCATTTTCTGCTGCTTTTTGATACCAATAAAAGGCTTTTTCTAAATTCTTTTCCACTACTTCTCCTTTTGCATAACATATGGCTAAATTATACATTGCTACTTTATCACCATTTTTTGCCAATTCTTCTAAAGAATTAATACATTTTTTACACAATAATTCTATAGTGCAATATGAACAATTTTCGGTATTTACTATATATATTTCTTTATCTGAAAAATTTAATTTAATAGATTTGGTATCCATTTAGTTATTTGGAAATTTAATTTACTGAAAAAAAAAAACTATTTTTTTTAGACGTATTTTTTTTTTTTTTTTTTTTTTT